ATGTCTGAATATTTCTGATGATAATCCAAGGGGTATTTATACAAGGGGTATTTATAAAGGAATGCTTAGTAAAGCAATAGGAAGATGATGATCATTGCATCCAGGTATTTCGTGAATATTATCAGTAGAAGACTTTAGCTTAATGTCTTTAGGAACAGATCTATCAACTATTATAGGAGTATATGAAGAATATTTTAGAAGAATCAGTCATACGGTCAGTAGATCCATATTCGATGACCCGGGAGTCAAACCTTATGTGAGGCATTACAACCAGATGACAGTTGGGTAACATTAGATTAAGATTTAGTAGGAGTAGCTTGGAACATCCAACGAGACCTTCAACCACTTCAGAGAGTTTTCCCCTTTTATATATGCTATGAGGGGTCTGCAAATCACTGCTTCAAGTCATCATGGTTCAGCGCTGTAATTAGCCACATGCAACTCCAACATGGACGGGTAATTACTAATTAGAGAATGAGAGGACCAATTTTATGTTGACCATCGACAAAAGATGGTATCACTAGCCTTCACATGCTGGCGTGTGAACTCTGTGGCAGAAAGCGATGAGCAGCATGTGGGAGTGTGCCAATTGGTGGTTTCTGAGGTGGTTTCAAGGGTTCTTTGGGTGTTTGGGCTGAGGAGAAAGGGTGGCCCAATGGCAATGAAAGCTAAGGTCTATCAAAAACAGAGGTATAGAGAGAGAGAGAGAGAGAGAGAGAGAGAGAAACAAGGATCACAGAACAAAGACTGATACCATGACAGATCTCTGAATATTTCTGATGATTCATCATCTAATACAAGGGGAAAGAGAAAGACAAAAATAAAGACCGATACCATGCCAAATCTGTGAGTATTTCTGATGATTCAAAGATGATGATAGTACGAGGGGTATTTATACAAGAGGAAGGAGAGAGAAAAAATAAGTGCAAGAAAAAAATTGCTGGAGTTAATGAATTGATATTCCCTTGATTCTGTCCTGATTCCTAGCTATTTAATACAAAATATTGCGTAATATTTACAACAATGAAACTTTATATTTAACAAGATGCGTAGAGTTTAGACAGCTTTGTTATGCTTTCCTAAGCCACTTTTGCTGTTTTCTTTTGTAAAGGATTCCTTAGATCCCATCTCTGCTCTATTTTACTTATTGTATAATAGTTTCTCTTATTAGAAAAGGGGAAGGTAAATCCTTGATGACTATTCATGTTTTATTCTATTAATATTTCTGTAGATTTTGCAAGGGACAAGTAACTATAGTAAATATTGCTGTGTTTCTGTGCTGTTCTGTTCTTTTATGAGTATTCTGATATTGCATTGTTTGTCATTCTAATATTTTCAGAGATGTCATGCTTCGAGTAGATGCTAAACAGGGAGCTCCAAGGGATGGAAATTTTCCCCTCGAACTTTTCCAGGTAACATTTCCTCTTAAAGATTGTTTTGGACCCTTAAGAATATACAAGACCTAGAAAGTAAAATTTGTTATTAAATTGTTAGCATATAACATGAAGACTGACAATTTTGTTCCTTGATATGGAATTACTTTACAGGTAGAAATTCACCCCCTTAAGATCCATTTGACTGAGACCATGTACCGAATGATGTGGGACTATTTCTTCCCAGAGGAAGAACAAGATTCACAACGCCGGCAGGTTAGTGACAAATTTCAGACTACTACAACATAGACTTAATAACAAAAGCTGAAATTTACAGAATTTTGGCATCAGGTTGTAATTATGGTTATTCTTGTTTGTATGGGAAGTTATGATTATGATTATTTATACAGGAGGTTTGGAAGGTTTCAACAACTGCTGGTGCAAGACGGGTTAGGAAAGCTTCATCAGTACATGAAGCTTCTGCTTCAAACAGTCACTTGATAAAAGAGTCTGAAGCATCATCCAAACCCGGCATCTCTGCGATGCTATTTCCTGTCACCAGTCAGCCTTCCCTTCTTGCTGATTCAGCCCAAGTGAGTCCTTGATGTCTTCTTTATTGCACCACTCTCAAGTTAGAGTCAAAATCAGAAAAATGGTATTCTTGATCTGTGTTTGAAGGATAGTTAAGAGCACGTGTAACCTCTTCAACTTCTATTCACAGGCATCCAAATCACAAAATGTTAAAGCAAACCCAGGTAATGGTTCAACCCCTGAGCTAAGAAGGACGTCTTCTTTTGACAGAACATGGGAAGAGACAGTAGCAGAGTCTGTAGCTAATGAACTTGTCTTACAAAGCTTCTCTTCCTCAAAAACTGGTCCATTTAATTCTGTCGAGCAACAAGATGAAGTCTCTAAGAATAAATCTAGAGAGTCCAGAGTTGTCAAAGCTGGTCGCTCATCACATGAAGGGAAAAAGTCAATTAAGTCTCATGAAGAGAAAAGATCTAGGCCTCGAAAAATGATGGAGTTTCACAACATTAAAATTAGCCAGGTCTGTAATCTTGGTGAAGCTGTCAACCGCATGACTCGTGACATTAATTCAGAATTTGGCTGAATGCAATTTCTAATTCTCTTTCAGGTTGAGTTATTGGTTACATATGAAGGGTCAAGATTTGTCGTGAATGATCTGAAATTACTGATGGATCAATTCCACCGGGTTGAGTTTACTGGGACTTGGCGGAGGCTCTTCTCAAGAGTTAAGAAGCACATTATCTGGGGAGTCTTGAAGTCAGTGACTGGAATGCAGGTGATGAATGACTTGCAGCATCCTTACTCCTTCATTTTCTTGTTAATGTTTACTTACCTCAAGACATTAAAGTAACATTGCAATGTTTTTACAAGCCCATCCCTACTGTGTTTGTGGTCTTCGAGACGCGGCCATTACCAACCAAAAAAATTTATATGATGTCTCAATGGATGTCTATCTGGTACTAGTGACAATCACTTATCTTTTGTAATGAATTTACTTAACATCATTTTTTTTTTTGGCTGAATCATGTAGGGTAGGAAATTTAAAGACAAAGCTCATTGTCAGCCTACTGGAGCTGGTGTTCCTGAAATTGACCTCAATTTTAGTGACAATGAAGGCCAGGCTGGAAAATCTGACCAGTACCCACCATCTTGGCTTAAGCCAAGTGATGGAGCGGGTGACGGATTTGTAACATCCATAAGGGGACTGTTCAACACACAGCGCCGGAAGGCAAAAGCATTTGTTCTGCGGACTATGAGGGGTGAAGCAGAGAATGATTTTCAAGGCGATTGGAGTGAAAGTGACGTGGAGTTCTCTCCTTTTGCTCGGCAGCTCACAATTACCAGAGCTAAAAGGCTTATCAAGCGACACACTAGGAAGTTCCGCTCTAGAGGACAGAAAGGTATGTGCAACCGCCCCTTCCATCCTGATTTACATTTTCTCTGTGGTCAATGGACAAAGTAATTGCCAGTAAATAAAACACGTCACTGTTGTGCATTTCACCTAAGAATAACTGTGTGCCAGTTTTAGTTTGTCAGCCCTGAGGACACTGTTGCGCATTCCATCTTTTTCTAACCCAATATGTGGCATGTCGGCTATGCCTGAAAATTTAACTATTCAATGTTTGATAAGAATCTTGCCTACCTGGGTCTAATATATGCCTTTGCTAATCAAATCTTGTTTTTGGTTGGTGAACTAATCAAATCTTTTCTTGCGGAGAATGTTCAGTAGTAATGAGACATGATAACTTTAAGGCCTGACCTAGATCTTTTGCAGGGTCGTCCTCCCAACAAAGAGAATCACTCCCATCATCTCCGAGAGAGACGACTCCATTTGATAGTGATTCTGCAAGTGGATCCTCGCCCTATGAAGATTTTCATGAATAGATGCATATTATTCGAAATTCTTCTCATTAAGCACGCAAAATCTGGTTCTTGAAAGATGGTGGCGTGATAGCTGATCTCTCTGAGCTGGCAAGTGCATCGGGGAAGACTTGAAATTTCAAGGTTTCTTAAGAGGGGCCAACAGAAAGATGAACTAGGATTCAAAATGCGGTCCATGCGATCGTAATTGATGGGAATTCAATGTTTGTCCGCGCAATTTTAGCTTTGTGATGACGAGCCCTTCATTCGTCCCAAAACAACTATCGGACAGTTAATTTTATGTTTCTGTAGTTTAGGAGAATGTGCATTTTTGCGACGATTGTACAGAAATTTGATTATATTTCAAGAAGCATAATAAATGCAGTATTGAATCGATCCTTTTTTTTTTTTTTTAATGGAGGCGGGAACGTGAAAACAAACCCAGCAACTAATTTGCCTGGGGCATGCGACCACTTCACACAGTCGACAGGGGCAAAAGGGTCTGATCAATAGTTATGCGGGCACAATCAACAGTCAAACCACTTTCCTCTCCAGATTTCCTTTAATATAATTTAACAGATTTAACTTACTCTTTTGATCCTATTTATAAATTATTGTTTCATACAAATAAAAAAAATTTTAAATTTTATTAACTCTCACTAAAAATTCAATAATTTTTTAATTTTATCCCCATCTAATATATGTTATACTTGATGTAAATAAAATTAACACTTTAACACTAATAAATAAAAATCCCATAGGAACCAGGATTATAATTGAAAAAATCATTAGTATGAGTAATTATTTGTTATGTGAAACTAAAAAAACCCATAGAAATAAGATTAGGAAATATCATTTCCCTTATAGTATTTTCAATCTCACATAGATCTATCTAATCTTATGTAATAAACAATTTCTTATGCTAAATATTATTTTATTAATTTCCATCCCAATTCCTATTTCCTATTTTCAATGTTTCATACTAATCACTATCAAAGGATAAAATTATATATTATACAAAAATAATGTATATACAAAAAATATCTTCCATCTTTATCCTTAAGACCCTTATACAGGTCTTACATTTAGGACCGGAAGAGTATTATAAATAGGACCAGAGGAGTATTAACTTACTCTCTCTTAAATCGATTTTGTGAAGATCCAAACCACAATTCCTACAACGCTGATGAAAATTGTGTTAACTCGCATAGCTATTAGATCATACAGAACTAGGACGCAAAAATGCTCACAGGAGTATGTATTATTTTCACGCAACATGGATGGCAGTTGCTCAGACATGACCCCGCCGAACAAAAACTTCTTTTGCAATGAGGCAGTCAAGCCTGCTGTCTATACAGTGACAGAACTGGTCCGTTCGCAGGGAACACTCAGCCGCACCCCAGAACCAGCCAAACCAACCCCCCCCCCCCCACAAAAAAAAAAAAAAAAAAAAGGAAAAGAGGAATGAATATGCTACACCAATATTACAAGCCATTCTGTGGGACAATTAATGAATATAATGTTATGTATAGGAGCAGAAAGTCGAGGATGCCTCCCTACAAATTCTGAATGACGCACCAATTGATTCCAGGCGTCGATACCTGCAAGTGAGAATCTTTTCCGAGCTTTTAGTTGCGCATGCTTCCAATATTCCGGGAACAGCGATGGTCTCGCATCTCATCTTACCATATTTCCACGCCAAAGGAAGGAAGTCTCAAAGATATTCCCATCCCTGAAATATTGGCAGAAGCCCAAAAATATGTATATGGATAATCAGGCGATGCATGCGGACGAGCACGAGTGGATAATTCTAGAAATTCGTTACAAAAGAAGAAACACCAGCATAATTCATATGGATCAACAAATGATGAGATATTACACACTCAAATAGAACATAGAACAGCTCCTATTTCTAAATATATTTAATTTCTAAACATTTCAAATATATCATCACTAATCCTAGAGAGAGAATTTGAGGCAAAGTTCACATCTAAGAAGTTTCTACCCCGCCAGAATGAGTCTGCATGTGACTTAGCATTGACACAGGAAGCAAACCTAATAAAATATAGAGAATACTGACTTCAGTAAACTCTGCAAGATAAGGAGCGTATTCTTGATTTCATTTAAATTAAGTTATCTAGGTTATCTTTATTCAGGTCTAAAGCATTTTAAATTTATTACTGTCATTTTATTATTTGCATCTTAGATTCTATAGAAAGCCCCAAAGTTATTTTGGTGTCAGACCATTGATGTATTATTATTGAGAAGTATTTTGCCGCCAATTCTTTCCCTCTCAGATCTCTATTTTCCCTCAAGTCTCTTCCTTTCTCCCTTGATTTCTCTTATTCTTCCTCCTCCTTTCTCCCCCTCCTTGTTCTCCATCACTTCAACTCTTCAAAAGACGCCTCCTTACAGTCCACTTCCAACCTCCAACCAAATCATGAGTTCCAATTGTATAATTCCATATCCCAAGTATACATGTCTTTCCAGGGTGATAAATGAATTAACAGTTTATTGCCATCCAAAACAAGCCTCAATGAAAAGGTATAATCAATAGTCCGTAGCTATTTTTGTTTAAAAAAAAAAAAATAGTCCGTACCTATTGTACCTGGAATTTCCGACAGAGGTCAGCTCTCGCTTCAAATTCTACATGAATCAGCTTTTGCATGCTATTGTTGATTCATTCCGCTACGTATGCCTTGACTTCGTATTCCTGTTATTACCAACTTTGCGAGGCTGAGGATTTTCTATGGAATACACAAGAAGACTCCCATCTTTTGCCCCAGCTAAGAAGCATTCTTCTGGTGTTACAGTCAGAGATGTTATCACCTTACCAACCCTTGATATTTTTTTATAACTTCAAGGGTGTTCATAGAGCGAACAACTATCTGCCCTTGGTCACCTGCACCAACCAAAAACTCACCACACCTACTCAATTGAACAGCATTGAGACGTCCATTGGATTCAGAGGCAGCAAGATGTTTCCCGTTAATTGAATATAAATGCAAGCTGAGATCACCATCAGCATATATGACAATCCGACCATGATGGGAGACAACTAGCTTTGATATTGGACTGCTCGAAGGGTGTTGTAAGGATCTTACATATCTTCCTTCTCGCAGGGTGTGGAATACACAAGTCCCATCTTTTGACCCACTAATTATGATATCAAGCTCAAGACTGACATGTAAGCACGTTATTATATCATCATGCCCACAAAGGATGTGACATGGGGTTTCAACTATGACATGGTTTTTACGGGGTAACTCAGACTGAGAGTTGCGAATTCTCTTTTCCGAAGTTCTGCCACGGGAAACTTCCCAAATCATGACAGTTGTGTCATAACTTCCAGTTGCAAGGATGCTTCCGTCAGATGTAACTGCAGGCAGATATCACACTCCAGTAAGATAACACTTTATTTGTACGTTTGTTTGATGGAGACCCAATATGATACTAAGCGGAAAATATTGAAACATATTGATGAGGAAAAGAAAATACAAAGTCAAGCATAAAAGAGTAAGCAGCAGTTATGAGTTTTGACGCAACCATAAACAAAGGAAACATATTGCAATTACAAGATCACAGAAAACTGCATATATCTTCATTGTGCTTGCAAGATCACAGATGAAATTATTTAAGCAATGCACACAGCCTGTCTTTCTTTAGGGTCCACTTGGTATGAGGAAAATGGAGAGAAGGGGAGGGGAGGGAAGATTTTAAGGAGTTTGGTTAAAAAAATTAAAGTAGAGTTAAAAGCTTTTAATTAATTTTTCTTACATCTTTCTATCAAAATTTTACAACCCCACTTCCCTAATTTTTTAAGTTGAGTTCATTAAAATTTTCCTTCCCCTCGTATGAGACAAAGGGCTAAAGTACAATACTCATTAAAAAGAAACGCATGCTAAGTTGTAAAATACCCAAGTCATTTTCAAAAATAAAGCTCGCAGCCTAGCATCATCCTCACTATCAGTTTAGAGGAAAATCAAGAAAAAACATGCTCCAAATGAACGTTAGCATTCTCATCAAGTGTGGTTTTAATGATCAGCTATTCATTCTCCAAATTCTTTCAAATAACATGGTATATTAACCCATCAAATATGTTAGAACGCTTGGATTATTAAAAGGGTTCTCTTTGCTATTTGAGTGATCGTATTACTCTTATCTACTCCTGTCGATTGTCATCCAGTGTTCTTTTCTGAACCCACCCTCCTACAGAACTCAAAGGTAGTAGCCGAGGTCAGAAAAGATCTGGATGGATGGAAGATGGTTTCGGTATCAAAATTGTGGGATAGGAAGAGATCATTTTCTTGGGTGGTTTGTTATAGGCTGAAGTGGGAGAAAATTTTAAGCATTGGTAATGGTTGTCCCCTAAAACGTGCTTTCTAATTAAATATGCTGTTTTCATCTAGAATTCTTCCAAAATGAACTCAAGACCTTTCTGAGCTCCTGTTATATGAAGATGCAGCCCACTCTTGGAATTATTTTTAAGGTGTCCTACTAATAAGAATATTTTTCAACTCCTTGATCTAACCCGTTCTACTTTGAACAAGAAAGATAACTCCTTTGATCCTACCAATGTTTAGTCCAGTATGTCCTGCTTTCATTATATGTTTAAGACTGTGTGTGGTCTTCTTACTTCAGGAAGAAACCTTATCTTCCTGTCATATACTTGAACATCTAATAAAATTTATCCTTTTCTTTCCCCTGAAAAATAAAGTCAGCTGATCAGGGATACTTTCGAATAATTTACCTGCAACACAGCTTACAATATCCTTATGTTGCCGGATACTCTGGACCATTCTGCCATCGTTCAATGATATGACCTGAAAGCTGTTTTCCCAGTTGCCACACGATATTAAGAAGTTCTCAGATGGTGTCTGCATTGTTGCAAAACACTGAGCTCCCAGTTCAACGTTTTCAGGTACAGGGCTCCCAATTTTCCGGGGAGAAAGTACATCAGAACCAACTCCAAAGAACGCATCCTGCAGAAGTTTGAAAATTTTGTTCTCATCAAACCAAATACAATTTTAACGAAAAGGAAAATGATATTATCTCAGTCTGATAAAACGTAGTCAAACCTGGGAACCGGAAAATGTAAAATTTCCCCCAGATTGTAGTTGGCTTGTCAGCCACATCTTAACAGACAAGTTGAGCCCCTCATTCACAAGCACAATATTTGAGTCCATTAAACCAACAAATAGGAAAGCTGATGAAGAATGGCTGGTATTACAAACAACAGAAGTCAAACTGATAGAATCCGGAGCAAAGTGCAGAGGATGTGCAATTGGAATAGGTGGCCCTCTTCTGGGGTGTTTCTTACGAAATATTTGGATCGGTGTCTGGCCAAAGTTAGCTATTTGATCCTCAATAGCCGCTCTTTGCAAATCATCATCCATTGTTTCCAGATCAACAGCACCTTCATAGGTCAAATAGTAGAAGATGTTTGCAGCCTACAATCCAGTGTTAAAACATTTTAATGAGTTGAGTTAATTAACCTGAAGAGTAATATAATTCAGCCAATTCAGGTTACTAACTTAAATACATCATCATTCAACATCATTGATGGCTATGCATACCTCTACTGCAGGTTTCCCACGTTGCTTGTATCCAAATACCAAATCTATCCAATGGTGGAGATTTGAACTAACATACTCACTTTCAAGTGCCTCACGATTTCTTCTTATAAATTCTTCGGGTGAACCCTGCTTAAATTATTTTAAAATAAGTTCTTCCTGTTCAGCAATTCAAGATTTATTATTGAAACTAATATCTAGCAGCTGTGGTCCACTTAATTTGACTTTTTCAATTAAAAAATAAAGTTAGCGACAACAGAGAGAAAATACAAATCCAGAGAAAAAGATATACCGTAAAACAGAAAATAATTCATAGCAGAAAATGTGTATATAAACACCTGATTATTTCATACCAGTGAAGCTCAAATACCTCGTTGAAATAGAAAGGTTCATAAAACATGTATATAGATTATTCATATTGTAGTTCGAGAGAACAGAAGCACAGGATTTACATATGACTTAAGCAATGAATTATTAGGCTTTCCATCATCTCACGTGCAAAGGGAAGGTTGTTTCACTAGTTATAAATTCACAACACACACAAACACATCTGGAAGGCACCACTGATCATGGCAAGGCAGCTTCCACCAACATTAAAATTTAAAATATAATGTTACAGTTTTGCTTCATTCTAATATCAGATTGTTCCCTAATAAAACGCTAAGAAATTAATGGAATTTGTAGTCAAGAAAGAGTACTAAGGTCACAACAGTATCATGTCATCCCTTCCATTTGTCAAATAAGTCCAAACAGTCCTTTCAATTGGACCTCACACGTAAAAGGATACAGTTACACAATGACATCCATCTGGATTCCATGCTCTTCAAGGAAAATGATCATCACGCTCATTAATTCATATGAATCATTCAAATTAAATTTAGATGGTCCACATCATGTTTTTAATTCTTAAAAGTTTGGTGTTCATTTTATTCTAAAAGAATTACTATAAAAAATCAGCATACTCTTCCAACTACCAACAAGAAGCTTTATCCCACTAGGTGGGGTTAGCTGCATAGATGACGCCACCACGGTAACTTTTTTAACAACTAAATCTTTAAATAAATTATTAACCAAAAGAGTCCATTCAATAATTTCATCAATTATTCTCTTTAGTCTTCCTCTAGCCCTCTTCATAAAACTCAAAATTGTCTGCTCCACCATCCTCATTGATGCCTCCAACGGCATTCTATTGTACATTTTCAAACCAACTTAAATGGTTTTCTACCATTTCCTCATCAGGCCAACTCTTCCTCTTATATGGTCATTATGAATGTTATCTTTTCCTGCATGCCTACACAACCGTCTTAACATCTGTCTCTTACTTGTAGAGAGCTAGGTTATAAGGCCATTCGCTTCTTGCCCTCAGTCTTGTTTATCTCTTCTCTACTCTTCAATAACGTCATAGTTCTCATTGACCAACAAAAAAAAAATGCTATCCTATTTGTTCCTGAAATATTCTAGACAAAGAAAAGGGGCGAAAAGATTCTTGGACTGAAAGGAACCCCAAAATCTTTAATTGGAATTCAAATGTTAATTATGGTACATCCCGAATAACAGTTACACTGTATAGAGATACTGAGTTTACTATTGATCATTTTACCATTTATGGATAGAATAATTTGATGGAGTCTTTCTGTAGCATACTAATGATTCAAAATATTTCCATACCTTTGCCCACAGAGGAAGAATAACATCTCCTATAGGTTCACCATCCTGCTTCACTCCTAGATGATAGAAGTTCGAATTCACAAGAAACTCAGGCAAGTAAAAGAACTCAGGTATTAGCTCCTTCACATCACTAGTATTCGTAAGGCAATTTTTATACGTGCTCTCGATGCTTTGGAAAAGACGGTCAGCATGATCAAACTTGCCACCCTAATCAGAGAAAATCAACAATGAATTACAATACAGACAATGAATAGAAACAAAACACCTAAATAATAATAGAAGTTGATTAAGAAACAAAGAAGCAGGCTATTTGACAAGTCATAATGAGAAACAAAATAAAATAAAAAATAGAACTTAAAGATATGGAGTTCATACCATGCCAACCTAGAAAAGCAACTTGGAAAACAGAGGACATACAATACATAGGTGGATGAATCCAATCTCAGTTCAGACTCAAGACTAGAGGCCATCCTCAAAACACCCATTCACAGGAGATTTAAAATTCTAGTCTTCCATATATAACATGTTAATGATAAATCAAAAGTTTACACAAATAGTGGCAACTGGAGAAAGCATAAAGCGGTAAAGGAATAGATACATCAAGCAATTGCTCAATAATGCATTTTACTTGTTCAAAATATTCCGTAAAACTAATCAATTATTTGATATGGTTTATGTTATATCTTATCATATCTTGACATATTTGTTGATTTGGTGCACTTAATTGGGCTTGACTAAAATCTCCCAACCCCTAATCCTATAGCACAACAATTAAGGGCCTGTTTGGATAGCAGGCCAAACCATGGTTTGGAGACCCAAACCATGGTTTGGGAAAAAAATCACCCAACCAAGCACAAATTATTTGAAACCATGGTTTGGGTCAAAACCATGATTTTGGAACCCAAAACCATGGTTTCGAGAGAAATGAATCCATTCTGCTTTTGGCTCAAATTGGAAAGTATGATTGTGCCTATTAGAGTAAATCTCAACAATAATATGACTTTAACACCCCTTAATTAATTTTTTATAAACATATTTAATCTTATATCTTATAAATAAATATACACATTAATTATTTGTGAATTACATTATCTTATATATTATTAATTATGTTGGTAAAAAATATATTATTAACAATTTTATTCCTTCAAAATAAAATATATCATACAATCTATGTTTTATGTAATTATCATATTAACTTATACTTTTTTAATAATTTGTACATATAAAAAGTGCTTCTGATAACTACTATCCAAACACTCTCACTTCTCAGAATCACTTTTTCACAAAATTTATTTTTTCCAGAAACTATTCTCCAAACCATGGTTTGGTTTCATCCAAACACCCCCTAATTCCATCCCATCCAAATTGAACACCCTTGACTTCTAAGCAGCAAAAGTCAAAGCCCTTAAAGCACAGAGTAGCAGTGCATGACAAGGAGACGTTAGTTAGGAGCTCAGAATGAAAACTGGTCAGAAGAGGAAAATTGGATGGTCGTTGGTGGCTTTAATTGATAGAATAACACCAAGATGAAATTCCTCAAATTTGTTGACAGAGGCAAAAGAAGCTAAATTTTCAAAGTTAAAAAATAGTTTTGGTACCATCAAACACTGGACAAGTCGAAAGATGAATGGCTGCCATGTATTTAGAAGGGCACGTGCTTGACTTATGCTCTTGGACTAATAGCAAGCATACACTCCAACAATGAGAAGAACTAGTCAAAGTCTTACAAGAGACTCATGACCCCACTGAATTTTAGAATATTGATGAATATTTAAGTAATATTAAGCAAAGAGGTTCAGCACAAGAGAATAAGATGGAGTTACCCAAGCTGCCAAAATCCAAATTGGCAAAACTTAAAATTAGCCATCTTTCTTAGCATACTAAAGGGGGCTTGAAAAGCTCGTGAGGATTCAAGAGGCCAGGTCCTTGTATAAGGCATGAGGCCAGACTTTGAAGTCTAACCTATCTCAAATCAAGTAAACCATCACCCAAACTCCTCAAATACACTGGCCCAATTCATCTGTCCCTCAGATTGCACAAGAACGTCCATCACCAGCAGCCAACACTACCCCACTCCATGCAACAACTCAAGGTACAAATGGAAAGCCCCATCTATCATATGATGCTAATCGGTAGCCTTGGCATGACAAAGGATGGTGTTTTTTCTGCAATGAATGGTTCATAACAGGGAACTGTGGCCAACAGATTCCCTGTGAGAACCTCCCACAGACCTGGACAAAATTTCATACGATATAGGGGAAGAATTTAAATATCATGATAACGCTCCAGGGATCTATTGGGTTCAAACAATTGCTAAATTCTGTTGATAGTGATTCAACCCACAACTTCATCACAGATTCAGTGGTTTCGGAACTAGATCTACCTGTGCAGCAAGTGCCTTCTTTTGAAGTTCAAAAAGGCAATTGGTGATGTGATCTAATGCAATCTAATTTGTCAAGAAGATGCCAATAGTATCACAATTTGTCAAGGCAGTGTGCTGATTCTGCAGGATTGTGGCTATTTGATTAGAATGGAATGCAAGTTTTCAATTAAAGTTTCTTCCTCCGCAACTTCGGGAAGGAATTTCTTTCATAGCCCCCTTGTAGATTTGAGTGGAAGCTTCTTCTGGGGGCACGCAATACGGATTTACACATGGATGCTCCAATGAGTTATAGAGTTTTAGTAATCTTCCTTCAGTTTCTTTCCTTTTGATTGAAGGGGGTGGTGTTCAGTTTTTATCCAGTTCTCTCTTCAGTAACTTCTCTCTCTCTACAAAGATACTAATCACTAAAGAACAGTCCAATTTCTTTTGCACGTCAGAAATATTGAATCCCTCAAATAATAAACCAAAACTATGTTAAAATGGAGCAGTTTCTCATCTTTGGGGAAAAACATATTTGATTAAGACATGATAAAGAAGACAGCGTGAAAAATCATTACAAGAAATTTCATGCTGAACTACCAAGAGAAGGACACAACAACCACAACAACGAAGCATATTCATCTTGTCTTCTGCACTAAAAATTCACATCAAGTGGGGCCAAATCTTAATAAGGATACCTGCAAATTACGGTGGAGGGAAGTAAAGGGCTCCAATCTAAGAAGGTAATAAAGCACAATTCCCATGCTAGAGTAATGAGACCCATAGTAGAAACTGCACCAAAAGATGCACTAGTATGAATGAGAAAAATTAAATAATAATAATAATAATAATAATACAAAATATCACAAAAGATTTACTCTAAGCTCCAAGACCAGGACCGAGAATTACCTGGGTATATCAGGATCACAGAAGTTACGATATCTATCTTCAAACACCTTAAATGCAAGAAGCACACCAAGGTGCAAGTCAGAAAATAGGAAAAGAACTTCATTTATATGGTACAAAACATGAAAACAGTAAGACAAACTGACCTCAAATCGTTTGGTATCAAGTGCTCCAACAGGCTTAGAGAGATCCCGAAAGGTTGCCGATCTATTAAAATCAAGAACCTCTGATGAGTAGTCGGCCAAAACCCAAGGGAAAACAGGATACTGGGTCAAGTCATTATAAGATCTCCCCGCTAGTGTATTGAGAATCATTAGATATTCAAAGTTCGTTATATCCCTTCTCCTCCAGCTCTCTCTGGCAGTTTCCGCCATCTCCTGTGCTACTCGTCTATCCACAAAAGCAATGGATCCACTTTTATCCCTACTACTTCCTTTGGGAAGTAAATACTCGTTTCTTGTAGTAACAATTAAGTTTCCTACATCTTTCGCATCCTTCACAGATGCGAAGTTCAAAAATACAGGGGCAACCGAATCACTGAAGAAAACTTCAATTGCAGTATATCTCAGCAAATACCGAGTCCAATGGACAGATTTTATCTGTATGAATCATCAGAGAAGAAATAATCAGATACCAATATTTAATAAAAAGGTTAAAGTGCAAATTTACCCCAGAAATTTTCACTGAGGAGCACTAGACATCCGAAATTTTTGTGTGTGTAAATTTGCCTCTGAAGTTTAAAATTGTAGCAATTTTGCTTCCTTCCATTAAAAAGTTAATGTTGACCATGACCATATTTAACGGTAGGGAAATTATAACGATTTTAAACTTTTGGGGCAAATCTAGGTGCTCAGTGCTCCTTAGTGAAAACTTTCCGCATAGATTTGCACCTTAATCTTTAATAGAATAACAATAGAAAGCTTCATATAGAAAAACCAATGAAAACCAAACCTTGGCCATGCTCCATCTTCTGTGGCGCTTGACACATTTGATAAGTTTAACAGGTGCATTTCCATTTATTATTTTACTGTTAGTAACTGATATTCCTTTCTGAAAGTCTATATCAGAAACCGGCCACTTCAGTGACCTTTGCTTTGGATCAGACTTTGTCAGATCTGAACTGCTTGAAGCAGGGAAGTCTTTAAAAACAGATGATCCACCAGTACCTTCAACCAAAAATTGGCCAAAAAAGTGCAAAACATCTTTCATGACTGCCAAATGCCCAGCTAATTTTCTCTTCGAGGTTACGAGAACACATGGAATAGACATAAGCACCTAAGAACAGTAATTATATGTGATCAAATACACTAGCACACTCTCCTTCCAAATAATATAAAAGATAACGTTCTGAGTCCACACGTACCTCACTTTGAGCTTCTGCTTCTGGCGAAGAGAAACTGTCTTTTCGTTCTTGCACAGTATCCTTTTTGTCACTATCCTTTAGTAAGTCAGAGGATGTGTTTTCAGAAGGGTCAAGGGGAACAGATATCCTTTTTCCACTTATTTCACTATTGGTTTCATTAGAATCCAAGCTTCCTTCCTCAGTTATTTTTCTCACTCCTTTGAGCAGAAGTTGCTTCATCTGCTCAGGTATATGTCCCACAAAACTAGGATTATTTTCAGTGACAGGAGTGGCTAATCCACTGACAGAGGCAGAAGGTGGAATGCACAGATTTTCGTCAAAATGATAATTCTGCCTTAGTTTTGGCCTACGGCGCCATGTATCTTCAGTCTTGTCAAGTTTCCAGTGTGTTACAACATGATTTGGAAAAGGGTTAGCAGACCATGGACCCCTCTCATCAATTAATGAACGAAACATGTGTATCCATTTTTCCTGTAAAAGAAAACTTTGTTTATGGACATAGTAACGAAACACATAGCAACTGTAACCAGGATAACCAGGGGCAACAAAAATTTCATTAAATAGAAAATGAATGACATCATTCATACAGCCACATTTTGCTGCTCTTCCTCACAAGTAAGGTGGAATTCAGCTCTTTTGACATCAACTGAAGCAAGAATGGAGTTCAAGCTATTTTGTATATCATCTTCAAAAGCTTTCTTGCTACTAGATTCTTCCAAGAAGTTTTCTTCCATTCTAGATTGGAGTTCCTGCATCTGCTGGGTTCGGTCAGTTTTAATTGTCTTTATATATTTAGCTTCATCCACAACCTAAAGAGAAATGCAAAAAGGTTCATCAGATATCACATGTAAGCAAACAGGAAAAAGGAAAGAGTTAGGGGAAATGCCAAAAGAAATTTAAAGCCTTTTAATCATTCTAATATAATTAATCAGAGATATCACGGCACAAATGCCAGCTCTTAGCCAAAAACAGTAACATAATAGAACACAGCATATTAGCATATTTACTAAATGGTCAACTGTACAACACGAGAGTGATATAGATTAGCGGGGAATGGAACAAGAAATTTCAGCCAGACAGACAAGTCTAGCCAACACAACGATAAAGGTGGATCAAGTTATAAAATTTTAGCATGCTTCCTAGAAATATATTGAACTTCAAGTCTTCAAGTTCCTTGGTAGGAATCTGGCTTAGGAAAAATCAAACTAGACTAAAAATCATGCTTGTAAATAGTTTTAACAATACTGTATGATAAATAATGTACGAATTAGATGTGGATCTTGTGCGCTAAATAGTTTGAGCAATGAGCCACATTGTTAATGACTTGTGAGCAACACAAGTTCTTACAGGTTTTATATACATCTATATATCTTAAAGACTCAATGAGAAATTGTATTGCATTAAATATTCTGGGAAAAATTAATCAATTGATTCCTATAGTTCTGACTTAGTAGTCACCCATTCCCTAAACTTTCATTTGATGCAACTTAAACCCAAATTTTAACTTACTATAACTCAGTCCCTGTACTTTAAACCAATTAAAACTTCAGTCCCCGTGCTTTGGGAAATATATAATTTGATTTTCTAAAATGCAGGAACCAATATCTCAAATGGTTAAAACTATAAAAACTGAATTGCAACTGAATTTTAACCAAGTCAAAACTATAAAAACTATGCTACAATGAGTCAAAACTTAAGGACTAAGTTTTGATAGAGTTAAAATTGCAAGGACCAAATGATTCATTTTCCCAATGTAATCATTATAATATGATTATAAGCAATAATAAATAATAATATTGTAATATATTGATAAGAATAATCACATATAGAAATTAATAAACGAAAAAAGAAGCAAAATTTTGAAACATACCGCTGCTAATACTCGATCCTTTTGAATTATATTTTGAATGGATCCTGTTTCTTTAAAATTGCTATTTGGATCTGAAGAGTCATCTCTGCCCACCATGCTACTAGCAAGCATTGATTTTCCTATGTTGACAGTCTCACGAATGAAATGTGATACCACATGAAATCGAGCACCGTCATCCAATAATCCATACTGTGACCTAACAGCAAGCATTGCCCTGACATCTTCCAAATAAAAGTTAGACTCCGCCAGGTTAAGTTTGATATAATTGCATATTGGCTGTAATTGAAAAATAACAGAAACACAAATCCCTGGACTTTAGACTCAAGCTTATAAACTTGCTCAAGCGTGTTTAGAAAGGGATATTACCAGATGACAAGTTGCAGCCTACCCTTGCTAGGCTCATCATCAGCAGTCAATAAGCAAGGCAAAAGTGAAACAACCCGTTGGACACACTGCAATGCCCTTTCAAGGGAAGCTTTACACAAATATAGGATTACAAGTCGAAAAATAATTCTTGGGAACCTCTCTCCTCGTAAAACCATGGCTTTATCAACATTTGGTTTAGGTTTTGCACCCAATGCAGAACCTATCCCACCTGATACAACAACAGCAGCCACTTCTGCAGCAGGAATGTTCAATGATTCAACTAAACCACGTGCCCTTTGACCTAATGATGGCCCTGTAAACGATGATGATTTGGGTAATAGTTTGCCATGCCCCTTGCCATTCATCTCACTAATAACAGCCCATAAACTGTCATATAGATTCCACCACTTTTCCTCAATTTTGTCACCTTCCTCTGGTATTGACTGCTTACAATCCAGCGATTTTCTGAAAGATGAAATAACCAAACTTTTAAAAATGTACTTCCATGCAGCATCTCTTTTTCCTTTTATTTTTTCTTCTTCTTTTTTTTGGGGGGAGGGGGGGGGGCCGGCAGGGTGGGGGCGGGTGTGGGGGGATGGCTCAAAATGCCAATACCTAGATGTTTGCTCATCATCATCGCCTAGCATAACCTCTTTTAAGGCAGAGCTATAATCTTTGTGATGTTCCAATTCCAAAGTAAGGTGAAAATCAGAGGCACTTCCAATAAACTGTATGAAAAGAAACAAAAGATACACGGTATCATAAGAACTTTCAATACTGCAACAATACAACTTTCAAACATTTTTTAGACTAAAATAATAATAATTCAAGCTCCCTCAGATGCTCTCGTTAGTGCATAGATATTTTTTGGTTTCAGCTCAAGGCCCAGACCCATTGATCTATCAGAATATAGCCAAGATACCCGACTATCTTGACTATATATACAATTGTATTTTACTCAGTTCAGTAAGTGAAAAAGACTTAGGACAAAGAAGCATTGACACAGTTTATTCACATGGTACCAGAGAACTTCGCATTAAGCTCTTGATTTTATAAAAATCTCCTATTTGTTTCAAAGAAATCCCTAAACCTCCCTTGAACAAAGGGATTGAGTAAAAATCATGACCATGCTAGGCTTTGCACGATCAATGAGGGTCCATAGTGTTTTTGCAGGCATAAAGAGACCATCGTACATCTGCCCAATACTAAAATTAAATGTTTAGATATATAGAACGCCTTTAGTAAACCAAGTAGAGATTAATATTTGATTCCCACCAACTTGTGTTCCCCTTCCTGAATCCAATCTAATTATCTTTGAGCACATTGGAGAAATGAGAAGAGCAAATTTTTATTAAAGCCCCGTCGTAACAATAAAATGATCTAAGGTTCAAGTATCTCAGAGAGTGCTGGATCTCAGAGAGTGCTATCTCTTGATGTGTGAGAGTTTCTTCATGAAGTACTAAGGAACCCTCATCAGCTATTCCAATTAAGACTTCCAGCTTCAAGACTTCCGAACAGGCTCTTTGGTACTTCCGGTAACTCTAGAAATAGTCAGGGTTGGAAAAGTCCTTATTCCCCGGGCAAAATGGCTCTTGAAGATAAAACAAAAGGTCAATGCTGTGATAGTGCGATGGTTGTGAGTGTATATCAATTAATTGGGTGGAATGGGCTCACTTTTCAATAATTCCTTCTTTATTTGAAAAAAGCAAAAATGAAAAGAACAAAAAAGCTGAAATTCTACGGCAGACAAATGCAAACAGCATCTTTAAGACACCAGACCATATAGTGCCTTATGCAAGAAGCACTAGATAACACGCCTCCGTGAGGAAACGCAGTCATATGAAAATAAATGCTAAAAATATGCTATATAAACAGAAAATAGATGAATGCAAATTTTACAAACGACATTTGACATTAAATTAATTATTCAAGCGCAATAATCATCAAGTGCACTGGTTAAACACTCGGTAGAACTATTCAAGTATAATCATCATCAAGTCACGTAACAACAACAATAATCAAGTGCAGTAATGAAGTTTTTATGCCATATGACAAAGCATAAAGTTAACTTTACAGTCCAAAAATGTTGTAAAGTGAGAATGAAGTCATCATGCCACATTCTAAGCGAGAATGACCAGTTTATCACGTTACTTATCAGTTAATGGCTAGGTTAGTATCCTCAAATCATCTATCCATATAGTTTTATAATACTCATACTGGGCATCTAATGCTGCAAAAAGAGCTAGTTAGTTGCCGTGGCTCAACAACAAAAGCAATTAGCTGAAGGCCTAACACCTCAAGATATAAGAACCACAGTGCCATGACACAACTGATATGATGATTTTATGCCCATCTTCTAAGTTTTTCATTTTGTAATTTCACATAGTTTTAAAATGTATTTTATTTTATCAAGACAAGTGAAATAATCTAAAAGTGCAGGCAAATGAAATACCGGGAGTATACTATCAACTTCAGATATCAGCATCTCATCAACCAATCTCAGAAGGTACAGCATATTATCCCGACAAGGTTGTGAGATGAAAACATTATCCTCAGCTGACAATTCCACCATATTCTGAATCAAATCCTCATATATATCACGGAGCAAGAATTGGTATGAATTACCACCCTACAAAAGACAAGTTTTGAAGTCAAACCATCACTTTAAGGTAGAATCTTCTATGCTAAACATAACCATATCAGATTGATTTTGACAACTTTCTAGCATGATTAAAATAATATAATTTCCATGTGCAGTCAGATTCCCACCGTACTTTGTCAGAGTACAAAAAGAAGTTGGTCGTTTCTTCCAACAGTTGCCAGCCTCCTTTTATGGAATGCATATAGTGACAGAGAACTAGAGAAAACAAATTCCTAACCACGTGCACCTCATCTGCCTCACTGCCAACTTGACTTATTGCCTTGATATTGTAGTCTTTCAATACATCAAGCATTAAAGACGATGACAACCAGGCATTCCAACCGTACTCCTACTCACAATAGAAGCAACTGTGAAAACAGTTTAAAAATTTATCAACCTGGTAAAAAGGCAAACATTATATAGCCATACCATGAAAGCTTCAATATTTGAAGGATTTGAATCAAGGAGTTCAAGAAGATCTCTTATTAATTTTATTCTAGCATGAGCATCCTCACAGCCAGACAGGTATCTGATAATCAGAGGCAACATCTGAGGAACTAAAAAGTGAGAATAATTGACCTTGCTTCTCACCCTTTCAAGTTGATTGTGTCTCTGTAAGACCTGTGGACCACAATATCTTAAAGTGATTGCCAGAAAGTCTGACCGTCAAATAAGAATTGTAAAGAATAATCACTCTCTCGACAAATTAGTGAACTCATTGAAAACCTCTGAGAATATGACCAATTTGATGGAAATGATTTAGGAATTGAAAAAAAAAGGGGGGGGGAGTCCACATAATGCCAAAATACCTGTTTGGGGCTAGCACCACCAAGAAGAACATCAAATAGAGTGGCACATAAATTATCTGTCTGTGGAAAGCTGAACAATCTATCAGAAATAGCTAAGAAAATTGGTTGCACTCTCACTTTCCTATCAATTTCTGGAAGAGATTTGGATTTTCCCACTGAGAGGTTGAAAAATCTCGATCCCTTCTTCTCAGCTGGAAAGCCAACCAAAAGCCTCCCTATGAACTGTAAGCTCAGCAATCTAATAGACTCAAGTTGCCTAGAATAAATAAATAACACAAAACAGCATAAGAACATGAAATACACTATTTCCGAAGAAGGAATTGCTGAATGCACAAAAAATTGATCATGATGTATATACTAATCTATCCATACTATTCTAGATAATAAATCAGTTTTATCATATGTGATTTCAATCGAAAAAATGTGAAGTGGAACATACTGCTGGAGAAGATTGACAAAAATCTGACAACCACCAATGATATTAACTTGTTCAAGGAAAGAAGCAAGCAGTGATTTCTGGGAAACAGCACGAATAACCACATGGAGAACATCCTCAATACAGGCCATATCATTACTTATCTCAAAAAATGCAACAAGCGCTTTTATATCCCCTGAAGTAATGTCCTGCCTGCACCCCAATAATTTCAAAAGGAAAATTGAACAGAGAATGAGTAATACTATGCAATTGCTATTAAAATATACAATGGAAAGCAGATGATACCATACACACAGCTGTAAATGGATTTCATGAATAAAATACCTTAGGCTCATTTCACCAAGACTTAACAACAGGAGACGGATTTTGCGTATTTCTTCTTTACTGGGTCTTTCACCAACTACTTGTTCAGTGATAGGATGTAGAAGAGGGCTATTTCCAACAGATAATTGAGACTTGATATTGTCACAATAAAATAGGTGAATTATCTCAAGAACACGTGGAAGCCTGCATAAACTAGTAAGCAACCTTGGATTATTGTCAAATTGCTGGATCAGAAACATGTAGAGTTCACGTTGCAGCTCATAAGTTGTGGAGACCCAGATAAGTGGATTAAGAAATATACTGGAAATAGCTTCTTTAACAAGCAGCTCTGCCAGACCTGAAGAGAATATAAAATATAATAAATAACATTGCACCATTAGAAAATATCATCAAATGAAAATGGTGTGCAGAAGAAATTTAAACTAAAGACCATGTTTCAAGCATAAAGAATCAAATGGAAAAGGATGAGAGAGTTTTGCAGATTACATACCAGAAGTAGAAACAACATTAACAAGGTTTTTCAGGGCAGAAAGTGTTTCCATGTTAAGTTGTCGTGGAGGAACTGATTGTAACAAGAAGCCCAGGACAGAAAACCCAGAAACTAGATGCATCTGTTGCTGATTTGCAAAATTCTCATCCAAAAAAGAAGCAATAAGCTCAATAACTTTAGTAGTCACACTCCCCTGCGACATGTGTGTGAGCAATGCATTTCCAGATTTTCCATTATTATTTTCATATCTACAACACTGCGTGATAAGAGGGAAAAACACAGATACGCCACCAACACAGTATATAATCTGCTGCAGTAAACGTCTTGAACATAACTCTGTCTCGCCCATTACAGATGCTTCAAAAGATTTCTTACCCAACGCATGATTTAGTATAGGAGAAACATTGAAAAGCATTCTTCCAAAGCTTGCCTGAAAAAGAAACAAATTAGTTTACAGAGACTTCACTTTTAGATACACCAATTCTATAAAATTAATAAAATGCATAAAGCACCTGGGCATTGAATCCGAAGATAATTTTTGATGCAAGACCATCTTTGGCATCAAGAATCCCACTGGGTAATTTATCTCCACAGAACGGCAGAGCTTCATTATCAAGGAATGCATACATATAGCTCGGTCCTAAGGAATAGATACTCTGGACTTGCTCTCCAGAGATGGCATCATTAAATAAATACACGGGACCAATTTGGCCAAAAAAAGAAGACGAGTCTTGGATGGATTCCGAGATGAGAGTGTGATCCTCATAGTGAGGCATTTTAATTTTAGACCCAATCAAGCAACTTGTTAAAGTTTCATTAACTTTTGCATACCTGAAAAATAAAAGCACATAGACCAAGTAAAAGCATCATAACAAGTATCGTTTTAATAGAAAAAAAATGAATTTGCAATGTTAGATGAAGACAAAATGTGATTAGAAACCTGCATCTTTCAGATGAGATGAGATCACCATCCAAGTAACACCTCAACAAGCTACCCCCCGAAAATGCTCTTCCAATGCTATGAGTTACGCAAAGAAAATGCCATTTCCTCCGGACTAAATTAACATGCAGGTCTACACGTTGTCTCTTTAGATTAATTGACTAACATGAGAAGAAGAAGGCAAAGGATCCAAAGAAGAAACCGAGTCGGTAAAGATATAAACAGATGTAAGTCAAAGCTAACTTGAGGACAATATAATCTAAGGAAAAGAAAAAACGTTTCTAGAGGATAATTTTCCTCACCTCATAAGTGAGTTTCTCCTTTGCAAGAACAGCCAAGGACCCTCTTCCATTTTCTGTAAGAAAACTGAAAAGACCCATCCCTCCATTCCTGGGGAAGTTCTCTATCCTGAGCCAGCAGGAAAAAGAAAATCCCTTATTGAGAGGCCACTGCAGAGGCGTCAAAAGCATGATACCCTTCAAGGATATGAAAGAAATGAGATTTCCATGCAAGTCAGAATAACAAAGTAGGATCATACTGCACAATCAAAATGTCCATAAAGAATTACAAGCAGAGAAAAGAGACTATTGTTACGAAGAAAACAATTCGTGCTAATATGTGAAAAGAAACTTCACCCAAGAAGTTTGCATCCATTTCCGATTCAAGGTCCAAATTAAATGCTCGTATTATATAACCTAGTGCTATGCTGGAGAGACCTCATTAAGTCCACTTTCCGTCAGGCCAAGAACAATTAAGGGGCAAGTAAAATATCCTTCATCCTAAATTGCCAGACAACTTCACAACATCAACCCCACTAACTTCAGTTTACTATCAGCTATCCTAACCACAAGTTTTTCAAAATTTGCAACAAAATGATCAACAAGAGAGGCATTTCCAGAGATATGATCCATCATCCCAAACTCGATAATCCATGTATTGGATTTATAGTATTACCTGCTTGTAACATACCTCCAATATCCATTAAAACAAGGCTGAATACAAGATTAGCACTTCTCACTATACTAGAATATGATATTGTAATTACTAGACTATGTTAATGACAGACAAATTAAAGAAATCTAGCAAATGAGTTCATATTCTAAAACCTTGGTAAGTTAAGGCACTTCATTGGCATAGAAGTACACAGACCAAAAGGAGTATTTCCATTTCAGAGAGGTGAAAAAAAACCGTTGGCCACATATTATTCTTGCAAACATGCTGTCTAATGTTCTCCCTGAGTTGTTTCCCCGTTTTTGGATCCAAGCAGCAGACCTGTTGCTACCAACCCTATAAAGCTTTGGTTTCAATATCTGAAAATTACGCGTAAATTTTCTGACCACTTCGCTCAAAAACCTTAGATATGCTTGAAATAGTAGAAAATCCCATGAAGTGAGATAGGATGAAACAAGTTGAAATAGGTGTTTCATCAAGCAGAAGATTAACCCGAACCATAAATGTACGACTCTTGTGGTAGATAAGCTAACCAAGGCACTCCCAAGGATCACGGTTGAAGAATTGATACCCATTGAGAATGAATAACATCTGCTATCCACCTTAAAGGAGTGATGATACTCGGGCTGAATTTTTCACATTTTTATCCTCTTAGTTTCTTTACTTGATCACTTGATCAGGCTTTATCATTTAATCAACTTTAAATATTCTGTTTTTTATTTCCTTAATTTTTGGCTAGCTAATTAAGTTTATATTTTATTTTTTATACCCCCTCTGGTCCTATATATAAGCTTCAAATAACTAATTCACGGATTACGAATAATTAGTTAAATTTAGTTAAAAGCAATAAATAGATTAGAAATATAATCTTGTTTCCAAATATGCCCTTACAATAAATGGAAAAAAAAAAAAAAAAGATGAAAGAGAATGTGTGGGGAAATATGATAAGAGAGAGTATGGAAAAAGAGAAAGAATATATAATTAAGGGCAAATTAGAAAAAAAACGTATCAAAGGTTAAGACAACCAAAATTTGAAACTTTTAAAATAGACCACACCCCTCCTGAAATTTGAAGCTTGTATATAGGACCGAAGGGAGTACTTCCAACGGATAAGATCAGCCAATTTATCTGTGGCCACACTTTCATCAAAATAAATAGTAGGGGGGGGAAAAAGTAATACTTCCTAGCATACAGATAAATATATATACACATACACACAGTAACCAAGCCAAAATGAAAACTTCTACAGCAATAATTCCACAACAGCTGCAGGACTTACAGAATCAATCCCAGAAAGATCAAAAAAGGCAGTCGGTCCCTTTTCGTGCAACATTGACAACAGACTAGTTAACAACAGAGAGCAGTACTGCCTCCGTGTCCCCACTTTCTCACTACGGAGTAAGGCAAATATTTTGCGTATGTCCTTCCCTGAGATGCTATGCCCACCAATGGCTTGAATTAACTGGGCAATTTGAAATATTACACTGTCATTATCTTCTTGAGAAAACCAATCGAGAAGGAAGTCAAGCATTCCTGCTCTGACACATGAAGCTCGATTAGAAATGGAATCTCTTAGCAGCTGCTGAAACACATCGAGTCCATGATGCTGCAATGACTCACTGCTCTGCCCAATCACAAGATAGCAAGCAATAATCCAGATGGCATTATATTATCAAACAAAAAGCCAGCAATTATTAGAAAAACTATCCAGAAAGACAAACTCTGGCATTGAAAATTTTTGAGGAAAAATCAAGAGAAATGAATAGCTTACCTTTTGCAGTACAATCAGATATAATGTTATCACATCTTCATTCTGAAATCGAATAAAGAGAAAGAGAAAGGAAATGCAACAAATGAGGCTCATTCAATGAAGATTTAAAGACACACTTGGTGTAATTTATCAAGAGGATAAATCAATCTAAGTGCTATCAGTATGTAGCATAATTCAAAAATAAGAGGAAAGAAGGCAAGCAAATCATACAAATTGAATTGAAGTTGTGTACTACTGTATTACCTTTATAATTGGACTCGTCTTGATATCAAACATCCCATCAACAAGCATATCAAGCAATACATTTAGAAGCCTTTCACTTGAATGCCATCGGCAAAAATCCAGTAGCAGACTTTGCAGGGTCTGATAACCTTTTCCAGCAAGAGCTCTAAATGCAGCCTGCGAAGTTTTTAATAAATCAATAAGTCAAATTTTTAACTCAAAGTAGCCTCAACAAAGTTCATGCCAAAAAAGGATAAGTTCATATGATATAACATGGCTTCAAAGCAAAACATTGTAGGGAGCCTCAAGAATGAGTTACATTATCACACCCAGTAAATACCACTGTTTGCCACAGAGTTTACGATTTAAAACAATATTGATATCAATAAAATAAGAAATTTAAAAAAAAGTATATAAACAACAAAAGATAGGGAAAAAGATTTAGAGAGATGAGAACCTTTGATGTGTCATTACTTGCAAGCAGACAAGTAAGCGTCTTAAGTACATTCAAAACCAATTTCTCCCCATTTGCATCATCAAGGTTGCTGTTAAGTAATGAAACAACGTGCAAAAAGCACTCCCCGTCACGAAACAAAGCCTGATAGTACTGAGGCAAAACAACATCAAATACAATCCTTCAGTTGACTAGTTAAATGCACGTCTTAAAGTAACTTGTGATTAGTTGAGAAACTAATCAAAAGGAAACATACTGCTGGATTAGTCTGGAGTAGATCTCTCATTCCAACCAATAAATCAATAGACAGGTCTACAAATCCCTTCTCCCGTTCTTTTATCTGATTAAATGTTTCTAAATACTTAGAGCATAACTGCAACTTTGCTTTTTTGTCTTCTTCAGAGTGTGGTGCAATCTGGAAAAATATCAATGTGCGAGATTCATAGTCAATATTATACATAATAAACATGAGGTCAAACATGATTTTTACACCTTCATCACACCATAACACGGTGAAAACAAAAATCAAAAACATAGGAATACCTTCATCAGCACAAGTATTTCTCTGAGCACGGCATTTCTCAAATCTTCTACCCAGAATAAATCAAATAAATAATCAATACATGCAAAATCATTCAATATCAAATTCCGTGCATCCTCAGCTGCAGATGAAAACATAGCATAGAGCTCCATGCACAATTTCATACAGTTAAACAAACTTTGCGAGCTTTCATGTGAACTGCATTTTTGTTGATACTGCTCCAATACTACTTCCATGCTACTAATCTCACCAGCAATATTCATTTTTCCACATCTTCTAGACTCTTGTGCTTGAACACAAGCAACTTTTAGAATTCTGGAAGCTGCACTAAGGGTCTTAAAAGAAGCAACAGTTTTCTCAGGGGAGGCATGGAAAATGGAAACCAAGCTCCTCACAAGAACACTAGCAGTTTCCAGATTGCAGGCAGACCGTTCAAGCACATCCAGCAAAGCGGACAATTCAGGCTATAGAAATAATGAGAGGAAATAAATATTAGAAGGCTTCCAAAAGAATCAAATTCAGCCATGCAATCAAAGAAACAAAAACAGAACATATATATATACATACCCACAAATATGTTGCTTACCAAATCAAACAATAGATAAAAGTTTTGGACACTGGCATATTAAGAATACATATAAACAAAAATAAGCTTAGTTCCACCAGAGAAGCATGCTAAAAGTCAATTGACAAGAAAAAAAGTGCATGACTTGGAGCAAAAACCAAATGCAGATGAGACAGATTTCTAGGTTTAGAAATGTGACATAGTGCTTAGGTAGATCTTTACAACAAGCACTACATCCCTCATCAACCGATTTACACCCATATCCCTTTTTTCTACCTCTTTTGATGTAACAAATCGTGCATGAAATTTAGATGCAACTTCATTTCAGAAAATCTTAGAAAAACACATCATGGCATGTATTAGAACATATAATCTGCCAAGAAACCCAATGCCAATCTTGCTATTCCGGAAAAAATAATAATAATAAAAGAGCTATTAATTCATTCAAAGAAAAAAAAAAGAGCTATTCAGTCCTCACAGTAAATGCGTCAAGGATTAAGTTTCTAAGTCTCCATTTCATTGGACGAAGGAAAATTTCATGCAAAATATACCGTAAAAGGAAAACCGAACCAACCAAGTTGTGTGGATTTTCACAAGAGATTGCAGCAAATTCCAGAAATGAAATTGCTTCCATCTGCAGACTATTAACCCTGCCCTCTTTTAAGATGCTGCTAACGTTACTTGAAGCAGAAAAGAATTCAGACTTCTCAGGGTTTGCAAATGTCTCACCAGAATTTTCCCCTGAAGCTAATTCAAAATAAAAGAAATTTTCTGAGAAGATAAGATCCCAAATACCCTCTTCTCGAAAAATTTGAAGTGAAATGGGTGAAGTAGAAAGAAAATCTTTAAATGCTCTGAGAACTGTCTCCTGCAGAATTGTCACAAAGACCCTGCAAACAAATCATACGAAACAAGTTGCAAAATTAGCACACAGCAAGACATTCCAATTTTATAGCCACGATAAGTAGTGATGCATATAATTCACAGTGCTGTTAACCCCCCCCCCCAAAAAAAAAAAAGAAAACCCAAAGCAAAATAGTGCAAGTTTCAGCCCAAAGAAAAGTTCCTGTAAGCCATTGGCAATACCTTAAATGGCAAGGAAACTTATTCTGACTTGAGCAAGCTTTGATGCAAGGAAATATTGCAATTAGAACCCTCATTACCCATTTGATTGACTTTTTACAATATCCTGGAGAAATTGACAGAGGACGTCCACCAGCAAATACTTGGACATTATGAAATTTTGAACCTTCGGAAGTCAGAAGGAATGAGCAGAGTATGCGGCTCAACTTAACAGCATAATCATTCCATTCTATTGAAAAAGAAGAACTGATGGAAATGCCACCAGAAGCCAAAGCTAGATCAGGTTTCACACAATTCTCATTATGAAGGTCCAGATCGAGCATTCCACTTTGCTGTTTTCCCGCCAAATCCTTCTCCTGCCCCATATCTATAAGCACGAAAGCTGGTGAACAAAAGCTAGTTGCAAATTTATGTACTCTACCATTTTCACAAAGAAATTGCAGATTGTTCGTATTCCCAAAGCTGTATAATCGTCAAGGATCAACTACAGTTACATCATATCTGGATGAAAGACCACAAACACTCTACAGATTAAACAAACAAAAGTCAATTAACCTAAAAATATGGATGATCATAAACCAACTACCACAAGGTAGCTGACTTGAGAAACAAACAAATAGAAAAGACATGAATAGATCTTACAAAATGTGTGTGTGTGAAATGTCTCACCGCTCCAGTAATGTCAATCTACCATATATTTTTCACATGAAAGAATCTTTCAGGATGCCAAGACTCTTGTATATATAAAATCCGGAAACCTTCAGAAGTTTAAAACATGACCAATAAATAAAGGATACACAGCTTCTCTCAAGACCTTGAGAGCAAGAACATGAACCTGGAAAATTTTCTGTAGCGGTTTATTATCCCTGCAAGAAGAATGAAAACCAATTACTCAAATACATAGTAATGCAGGTATACACATTAAAAAAACAGAATGTGCTCTGAGACACACACACACAAGGAATGTCATATATACGTTCTTAAAAGTAATCACAAACTTATACAAATAAAGTAGGAAATGAGTGAATTTGAAGAGCCCAAAACAATATATTATTCTCTTGCACAGAACTAAACTTACATCATGATGCAATAAAATTCAACCACATCTGGCTTTATCAAGAAAGTATTCTCATTAAGTAATTTTCCACAAAGTCAAGCGTCGAAACTTGTACTGATACCTCAAATACAAAATGCAGAACTTCCAATATCTACTACAAGCACGAGACAGTTATCATACCCAACAAATGTATCCAACGAAAAAAATAATATTTGGCCTGATATAAACCACTTCGCTAAAATTACCTTAAACTATCGACCCGAGAGGATTTGCCATAAAGCATTCTCATATAATTTGATGGAACTCCAAGACCATCCAACAGAACTTCCAGTCCTCCAATACTTTTAAAAAGATTTTGACCTCGGGGATTTGCAGATAGGACATAGCAAAGTATTTTCAGAGTCAAATACTGAATTGAGTCATCCACCCACTGGTCTTTCATGCTCAATCTTCTAATGATGCGCAGTATCTCTGTGATAATTTTAGCTCTGATGAGTACAAAATAAATTATAAAAGTAAACTAGGCATTAGAAAGGGCTAGAAGCTTTAAAAAGTGACTTCAACAAGTAACAACGCTCCTCAGCCCCTCAGCATATCTGACAGGGACACACCATTAAACAAATAAACAGCATGAATAGGCAGCTCAAATAAGACACAATACAGGTCAAAAACTACATTCACTACTCAGAGAGCAGAAATTGTACCTACAAGACAGAATTGATAAAATGTAGATTTGGAGCTCAGACAAACTTAAAACTGAGATATCACAAAAATTAAAATATTAAAACTACCTCCATTCCTTAATATAGGAGCTCGTTTGACTTTTATTTTCGTCCTAAATATAAGACACCAATCCACTTTGTCTCTTATCTTTATCTATTTTTTCAAAGTAGTCCTTGTCATAATGGTGATTCTAGCCAATACACTTGATTAGGAAGAATATTTTAGGAAAAACAACTTATTTATTACAAATAATTAATTTAACTAGTTTCAGCAATCTATTTAAATTAATCAACTAGCCTTGATATTAAGGACTGAAGGTAGTAAAACCATTTTGAAGGGGGGAAAAATGAACATATTGAGCATGAGAATAATTACAATATTTTTCCTATAAATTCTACTTTTTATTGGCCCAAACCACATTTGTAATTTCTCCTTTAACATGGATGTGGAAAAACTCATTTCCATTAGATCCAACATATAGTCATAGTGATTCCCACTGTAAAGAATATCATCTAGCAGAAGTGAAAATATGGAGACTTCACAGATTTAAAAAATATAAATATGTCTTTGACTTTTTGCTTTCTCTTCATCAATCACTACTGTTAATTGCAAAAATAAATAAATAAATAAAGAAAATCAACAAGATTACTGAGAAATTGATTGATTATTGTCCGCAAACAACATCAAACCAAAAGCATAATACTGAACCTAACAAGGACTTGACTGCTTGGTCCAAGAGGTTCGAATACCATTTCAAAAAACAAGTCACTGGCAAAAAATTGCCCTGAGGCCAAAGCCTAGAGATCAGTCAAAACCTTGACTCATCAATCTAGTGCCAAAAGCATATTTGAAAAAAACAATGACAATGAGAATCAAAATACTTCCCACTTAGTCAATGAGTCTCTCATACCATGTCAAGATCCAATTAACCTTTTCGTCAAAAGAAAGATAAAAAATTATAATGAATATTTAGAGGGTTAATATAATCTTTGGTCCCTCAAATTTGCCCTCATTTTGGTTTTGGTCCCTCAAGTTTCAAACCACAAGTTTTGGTCCTTCAAGGGGCAAAATGGTCCAAGTTCTTATTAGATTATAGGGACCAATGTTTTAAATGAAAAAAAACTTGAGGGACCAAAACCAAAATGATGTCAAAATTGAAGGACCAAAATTTGTATTAACCCATATTTAAATATAAGTTATAAGGTGGAGGACTCAGTGCCCATTTGGAAAAGTCAGATTTTAAAGGCAACTTTTTATGTTATAATAATATTATAAACTTTACTACCGAAAAAATCTTATCTTCATAACAAAAGAACTCTGGAGCTGTCACTTAAAAAGATGGTTCAACCAGGCACTTCGAGTGGATTTTTTCTCTAAAAAGTACTATTCCTTTACTATCACTATGAACAGAAATAACATGCTGATTTCCCTCTTAGGAAAGAATATATATCTGACTGTGCCATGCAGACATTAACACGACAAGGGGACTATTACAAACCTTGACCCCGCTCTGTCTTCATAAACGAACTTAGCTTATTATCCCAAGAGCAGGGAACCAACTAATTAGAATCCATGCACAATTTATCATTTCCAGCTCCGCGGAGCAAAAATGCCTAACTTCACAGTATGTAAGAACAACAATGGATGCCTACCTTACCTACTAACCAATTGTGACCGCCAGATTCCATCACAAAACTAGTAGCTGTCTGATGCCAATATGACCTTTCTTCAGAAGACAGAACACTTGAACTATCGGAAGAGCTAATGGAAGCATCAGCAAATGAAACAAAGCCTATAGTACCGCACAAAAACTCATCCTTTTCATCTACACTTGAACCTAAATCAATGAAATTGCAAATTATTGACACCACGTATAATAGAATTTGTTGGAGCAGCTTGAAGGTCTCCATGGTGAAGTCGGACAAACTTTCATCAGCTGAGAAGGTGCCGCTTATGGTTTTCAGTTGAACAACAGCCGCTGAAATAAATTAAATACAGTTAAAAACTCAAGTTCAACATTCATTATTATAAATAACATGTATTAGAGAGGACTGAAAGGAAACAAATTCAAGCGCAGAAGCTAGAACAAATTCATGCAAAGGAAATAATATTTCCAATGATATGTGCTTATTAGGAATATGAAAAGGAAAAACAAGATGAAGAATTTATAACTATAACAACATCACAATATTGTAACTTGACTCTGTAATTAGAATGGTCTAAAGAAAAACATGCCAAATTGAACGAAACACATAGGAGTCCTTCCATAGAAATAAAATCAAGAAAATGCGCATGCATAAACTACATTAGTAGATTAAAAAAGACCATGCCTAAACTTAAGCAACCACAACAGATGGTTAAAGAATGATGAAACAAAATGCATAACCAAAATACTGATAAAAGACAAATTTACAGTTACTCCCAGTATAATGATACCTTTCATCATAGCAGTAAGTTTTTGAACACCATCATGGTATCCAAACACCCTGCAATTATATAATGAACGGGTGATAATTTTCAGAGCATCCAATATGGCAAATCCTTCAGAAGCAATAAAAAAGTTGGTAGCTGCTCCAGTTAAGTCAGTTGGTGATTGTTCCATGCCGGTGTTCACTGAAATCACCAGTAGGGTACAAAAATTATTGCAGACTACAGAAGTACAAATAATTAAAAATGGAACGGGTCTGCAAAACAAAAAAATAAAAAATAAAAATAGGAATGGGTCTAAAGAGGCAATGATTATTGGATAACAGACCATCAAGAGCAAAAATAATCATTTCTAAGCGCCAAACACTATCCTATATTCGAAGAAAATATGTCTGGAAATTATTTTACTTTTGAACGGATGTGAAAGACTAATGTTCCCGAAGAAGGGAATGTGAAAAAGGTATGAAATTCCTCATACATATTTTTATAGTAAAATGAATTTCTTGATGAGAAGAAGAAAATTGGCCAGATCAGAGCCCATTTATTGGCCCATTAGCTAACGGATTTATTATTTATGACTTCGCAATGCCCTATCTCATTATTTAGGATCTGATTTGTTTAGAAATATCTTAAATTTACTTTTTGCTACTTTATTGGGCCTAATTACTATTTAGGTCGATATATCTTGAAACCTAATTCCATTTTGATTAATACATAGATCTTATGATTCCATCAGCTAACGGATATTATGTTGTATCACATCCATGACCTCCTTTGCACGAGTGTTACACAATTATGATTTTTTGCTAACTTACACTCAGTAACCAGTGAGCTTAACTGTGTGACCTCCTCGATCAATATCCTAATCATTTCAGCAGGATGACCAGCTATGCATCCCACAATTAGGTCATCCGAAGATGGTGAATTATCTGCAGATTGGAAAGTAGTTGAAGCAACCTCTGGTACTGCGCCTGAATTTACAGGTGCCCAATCCTTGTAAACAAGAAGAAACTGCTTGAGGAAAACATGAAGCATCCGCTTTTTTTCCACCTAAAACAATGAGGTCGGTGAGTTATATGAAAAATTTAATCAACAGACATTTAATGTTGCAGGAAAAACACAGAACACAGTCGTTTAACATTACTGTGGACTACTGGAGCACCCCGTGATGCTACAAGAAGCTTCAACAACTTTCATATCCAATAAATAAATCTAAGCATACCTTATCATCAATTTTCTCATATCTCTGCCAGAGAGCATTTACAATTGCCTCATCACCAACATCACTGGAAAAAGAAATTGAAAAAATTACAGGAAACTCGATCTAAGGATTAATGCTATAGGTATGGACAATCATGTCCCCTTAACAAATTTGGAAGGCAAAAAGTCTACGTCTTAGCTGGAAGAACATATGTTGACATAAAAAGTAACTCATCTTCCATAACAGCTTAGACTGTTGTAATTCACAGCAAGATTGAGCAAAAGTTGCAAATATTGAACAGATCCTTAGATGTTAACAAAATATAAGAGAAAAGGTCAAAAATAATATTATTCCAAGGCTCTAAAATGGCTGACATTTCCCAAATAATAGGATCCAAAATTGGACACACTTTATCGATGCCTTCACCTAACAGTTCAAATGTCAGATATGGGGGACTCAGTGAAGTACAAAATCCAAGAAATTGAATATTAGCATTGATACAAAAGAGACGTGCAAAAAAGAACAGATAGTATCATTTTTTTTCCTTGAGAAAAAGTGAGTAGAAGTCAAGGTATGAAGTTGGGAGATACTGAGGCCCAAACCCAGCCTCAAAAGTCAAGCATTGGTGCTTCCCTCACAAACACTAACATGACCTGCTCTCACTGAGTTAGCATAAGCATGATAACAGTCTTAGTCTATACATTCAACACAGCACATTAATGTTTCAACTGGATCCTTCACAGTTATAGCTGATTACGCAAGTTCTAGAATTTTTTAGACAATAGACACTCTAGTCAAATGTTAAGAAGGCGTCCGTCCCAATTTGCGAGCCACTCTGAAGACACTAATTTAAAAAATTGATAACAAGATAAGTTGAGCTCCTTTATGCAAAGACGAGATTATATACATTGAGCTTCAGCATAAATTTGAAAGATAGCTAAGTATTCAAAATGATCTAATGAATGCAAAAATCGTGCATTGTTCAATCTAATTCTTGAAGCCATAAAGTTTCCACTCAAGCAAAATAAGTATAAGAGTGTACATCCTATTACCTGAAGCGGATCTTGGGCACAGGAGGGGTAATTTTTTTTGCTTGCAAACCTGGAGACTCCCCAGCATGCCCACTAGAAGTTCTCCGGATAAGTTCAGCAACATTCTTGACAATATTCATCCTTCCTCAGTAAGGTTTATAGAGCATCAGGGCTTTGTGATCCAAATAGATAAAATACATGTATATATAATGATTCCTGCCATCATTTCCACCGACCTCAAATTCCTAATATAGAAATAAAGCATAGCATTACACAATGAAATGGAAAACGTCAAGAAAATAAGGGTATGAAAACCAATAAGCCATCGATAACAGTAACAACTGAAGCTCCGCCCCACATCATCATCATCATTGTCCTCATCATGCCGTCGTCATCACCATAGTAGTAGAAGTGGTAGCAATAGCAGTCGTAGTTATATTCCAACCTCGACGTTAATGTGGTTAAAAATTGAGGCAATTGGATTTCAATGCGAAAGCGAGCAAAAGCACACTGAAAAGTTTGCTTCAAAGCAGCACGGCTCCACAACTAGACTAATCAACTTTAGCATTCAAAAGCCAGCTGAAGTTTACTGGAGCTCGGAATGAAAGGACAATAGCCTGATCAGTTGGTCTTGGTTCCCATACCACAATCCCTCTCCTCACATTCCCATGAGGCGCGAAAAACGAAAATAGAACGAAAGGACTGAACAAGCATCTCCAACATAATATCATTTTCACTTAATTCATCCTATTTCCGGTCCTGACGAGCTTGCAAGAAAAACCGTGATACTTGTCGGGATTGGAAATTATCAAGAGCTACTAAATTAAAAGTGACGATCAAAAAATATATATATCAAAATGTGAAATACTAATCCTACACATTTTAAGAATTTAGTTTAACCTGCTCGTGCAATAGCATTGATATAACTTAGAGAATTAAACAAAAATAGTTGTACTGAGCGAGCTTATCGTTGTATAATTCTTGCAGCGTGTTAGACCTAAATCCAAATATGATTAAGGTACCTGAAAGATAAGGAATGACTGAAGCTCCGGGGAGCTCTAGGGTTCCCGATTGGAGATCAAGATACGAATACTCCAGAAACCTTCTTCCCCCTTCTTATGGTAAACTAGATTCCCCGGAGCTTCTTTAATGGCGTCGATCAGAGGCAAAAGTGGTCGTCTGTCGCGCAAGATTTCATTCATTTTTGTTCCTAGTTTTTTTGGTACTCTAACCTTTTATTCCACTAGTCCCACCCCTTATTAATTACTGCTCGTCTTATTAATAGCCTTAGTTATGTAAATTTTTTTCTATTTTAAAAATATAAAGATGTTTTTTTAATTAAAATTTATGTTGAAATATTTTTTGTTTACTAATTTACTGTTTACAATATTAAATTCCTATATTTTGACTAAAACTATTTTAAAGAATTTGAGATTTTTTGACTAAAACTATTTTAAAGAATTTGAGATTTTTTTTCTTCACCTTAATTTTATTTTTATTTTTTCAGATTGTTGTTTGTTTAATTATTATTTTTTATGTTGGGCCAGAAAATTAAGTAATTTAGTTATTATAAATATAAAAAAAATGAATACAAATTTGATTAATTCTTTAAATAAGTATATAATTGATCAAATTAAATAAGTTACAAAAGGTTGCAGCAAATTTTTTTTAAAAAAATAAATTATAAATTTAATGATCTATATAATTTTTTTAAACTCACATAATTTATACTATATGATAATTTAAAATATTTTCTAGCTATTTTAACCTTAAGTTTCAATGTTTCGTGAAGAATTAAAATTATGCAATTCTACAATATATCAAAATTAAAAAATTTACAACGTATTAAAAAGTTACAAATATTATAATTTTTTTGTATCAAAAATTATTTTTATACATATAAATGACTTAATAACATTTAAGTTAAATAGAAATATTTTGGTTAAAACAAAAACTTGAAAGTCAAATTTAACGGCTAACTAATGGTTAGATAAATGGAAATGAAATCTTAAAAATTTAAGAGAAGTTTGTGTAACATAGATTTTAATTTTATGAGAGATTACACATTTTCAAATTAGAGGGAGGATTTTTATAATTCAGGCAAAACATATTAGTAGTCAATGTATTTTACTCTATTTTTTATGCCAACAGATTAATGCTAATGTTAAAATCTTAAATATTACTAAAATATTCACAAATTGAATTATTAGGATAGCAGCAAGTAGCATAAAAAGAATGTTTGAGACTAATAATATTAGAATTAAAGGATAAAATAAATACTCTGTAAAATTAAAAAGACATACCTAAGATTTTATTTAAAATTAAAATAAAAAACCATATTTTTGTCATTGTCAAAGTAATGAAGACTGATTGATAGTGGCAAAAAACATAAAACGAAAAAACAAAGAGAAGTTAAGAATGACGCGTGAAAGGGGAGGAAATCTCGGCAAACATTTTAGAAGTTGCTTGGAACGGAGATAGATCTTTTTAAAAAGCAATTTTCTTTTTTTGTCACCAGGAAAAAAATAAAAAGCAATTTTTCAATTGTGTTTTGCTTATAAAATAAATACATGGGGAGAATTTTGTCTCAGTTTACATGATTATAAGCCAATTTGTATTGAATTTTAGACTAGTTTGGAATGGCTTGTAAACAACTTTTCAATCGTAATTCATAATTTATAGAATACAGGATAATTATGTGAGAAGAATTTTGTCTCAACTTAGTGAAACGTGTTTATAAGTGCTTATATAGGTGATGCCAAATAAGCACTTTATAAATAGTTTTTCAATCATGATTTACAAAATACTACCTATGATCCTTAATATAAGACCATGTTTGACTTTTAGTTTGGTCTTAAATATAAGACCCCAATCCACTTTATCTCTCATATTTACTCAATTTTTTTCAAGATAATCCTTCTAATAATTATAGCTCTAGTTAATACACTTAATTAGCAAGGATATTTTAAGAAAGACAACACCTATCTAGGACAAATAACTAACTCAACTTACTTTCTTAATCTCCTCAAATTAGTCAACTGACTCTTATAATTAGGATCGGAGATAGTATAAAGTAAGTATGTGAGAAAAATTTTATCTTAACTTACATGAGATAAACCAACAAATACCTATGTAAGTGATTCCAAATGAGCATATAAGCAATTTCAAACGAGCATGGGCTCTTGTCCGGTTTCCGTGCTCACGTTTAAATTCCACTGCTTCAGATTGAACAACAATGGTAAGGCCAGAATGCTAAATATAAAAGTTAGAAAACGTAACGTTGCTTTGGTCATAAATATAATACTTATCAGATCTTTAATATAAGACGTAATCGTTAAGTTGATTTTGATTCTGAATGTAAAACATAATTATCATATTTATCAATTTTTTTAAATTACTCATATTGATACTTGCTCAGTTATATCAAGTAGGAGAGGGAGGTATGACATTAAAAAAAATAACTATAGTGTTTTAGGAAAAACATATCGTATTTTTTATAATTAACTAACTTATATAACTTTTTTAATCTAATCAAATTAGTTAAATAAGCCTTATAATAAAACTAAAGAAGTACATCAATTCATGTAGTTTTCCAAATTTATAATTTTTGTTCAAAATATTCTTATTGATTGTACTAGTAAAGGAATTTAACTTGCAATGCATGTGATAATATTCATTTCTTCGCGTAGCATTTGTCACTGTTTATTTTTATTAGCATTGATATTAATATATTAATTACTAATATTGGTTAATTACTATTGGAATCAATGACCACGCCGATGCCCTCAATAATTAATGACCATAATCAAAAGACTGTGCGTCCAGCTTACAGAATTTATTTTACAACTAGTCATGAATTAAACTTAATATATTAATATTTAAAAATGCTTTATTAATATCCAAGATCCCAATATTTTTTTTTTTAATGATTTTCGGGTTTAAAGACTTAAAATATACTTTTTAAAATCAAGTGACTAAATTAAAATTCTGTATAAGTAAATTAGAAAACTGAAGGTATGTTTTAAACATCATCAAATGTCATAAATCCATTTTAGCCTCTTTTTTTTTGTCTCCCTCCTCTTTTTCCTGTGAAGGTTACTATCCGGAATGGAGATATCCTTGAATCCCTTTCAGGTATTGGAATTACATCTTAAGGAGTGCTTGGTAATCACAAAAAAGCATTTTTAAACAAAGCTTTCATATAAGACGAAATAAAATTCTTTTTACATACTTATTTTGTATATGTTAAAATTATTTTTAAAATTATAATTTGGTTTTCTTCCAAACACATAATTACATTTCACCCAGTTGTTGGTTCAGTGAGGAGAAGAAACGATGCAGGAGCGAGAAGAGGCATTTGAGAAGACTCACTCGAGACCACTTGAGTCGATGAAGATGGGAGTGGGATTTTTTATATTACATGTCAAAACCATATGGAGTAACCAAAGTATGCTTGTTCAAACTTTCGATCTCCAAACTTGTCAAACTATATATGCACGTTGCCCATGCTGTCCAGGCTTGTCAGATTATACATGGACATTACCAACACTTACCTCGATCTTGTGTAAGCTTGCCAAATTTTATATGGACTTTGCTTACATTTATTGCACTTACCCAGATCTTATCTAAGATCTGGGCACACCTCACAAAATAATACAAAACGTTGGAGGCACCTTAGCCTTTTTAGTACGCCTACTTTCATTTCTCTCAATCCAAGGCTCGCGGGAACAATCTCTATTCACCCTCATTCTTTACAAATAATCTAAAGTTTTATTCATAAAGAATGATGCTATTATTGGTTGAAAAATAGATGCTTTCATTTACTTTAAAAAAAAAAAAGAAGCTTTCAGCCGATAACCGTCAACTAATCAAACATTTTGGGTTTTAAAAATATAAATAGATAAGTACTTGGAGGTATTTGGATGGAAACCAAACCATAATTTTAAAAATATTTTTATAGTATACGAAGTAAATATATGAAGAAATTTATTTCGATTTACAACAGAGTGCTTTTAAAAATCAATTCTGATCAATTCCAAACACCCCTTAATGTGCGTGCCTGAACTAGAGTTTGCAACAACTTATTTGTAGTTGACTTTGCTGTAATTCCCTTTTTTATGCTTGGATGTTTTTTATCTTAAGGATTGTATTGATAAAATGAAAGGTGTTTATATATTTTCAATCAAATTAAAGTACCTTTACACATGCAATTGTTGGAAATTATGCGAGTTTTATAACATAATACTCTATTACATGCATAAGAAAATATCCCTCTGGATGGCAAGATGAAGCCAAAAAAGACTTGAATTGTCGTCCCCAGACTTACGGAGGAACGTTATAAAACTCTAGAAGTCAGTTGGGACAAAAAAAAATGATTATTATTTTGATAAAAAATGGATGCTGACATTGCATTTTGAAAGTAATTAACTTTTTGTCCGAGAGTGATTTTAAGTGTCTCACACACGCCAAACTTTAGTGACCATTACTGCATAGGAAATCCTTCTAGTCAGGAAAGCTTTCAAGCATGAAACATCTAATCTAGGATAACCTGCAACATAGTTTTCCTTAATCTCATCCAGACATTATTTATGCTGCATGGTTCCTCGCCAACTTCAGATGCATAAAGTTGTACTTTTGTTTGTACCAAGCTTCTTGATGTAATGATATACGCATAAAGCTTAAATGACAACACCAAATGTTAAGAACAAGGCAAAGCGTGTTGTTAAGCATAAAAGCTTATGTTCAAATACGTATAAGATACTTTAAAAATCTCAGTATATGGACCGCATGACTTTTAGCGATGAACACAACAACTTATTGTTTTATTGAGTCGTCATATGTATTAAAATGATGATAGTGCGAATTGTTTATGGACAAAAAGGGAAGCAAAATTTGTATGGCCAGAATAGGCATGCCTTGTGTAAAAAGGGAGAGATTATATTATACTATATCCCATCCTTAATATAAGAGTTTGTTTGACTTTTATTTTGGTTTTAAATATAAGATTTTGGTTTATTTGATCTCTCATATTTATCTATTTTTTTTCTAAGATATACTTTGTAATAACAATAGTTTTGGCCAATATACTTGATTAGTAATGATATATTAGGAAAGACAACACTTATTTATTACAAATAACTAACTTTACTAATTTTCTTGATTTATTCAAACTAATCAACTAGCTTTTATATCAATGAATGGATATAGTATTAAGAAGATCTAAGCAATTATCAAGACAAACATGATCACACCAAGCATAATCATCCAGAAATATAATAAAATACTATTTCCGATTCTTAATGTAAGAGCTCGTTTGACTTTTATTTTGATCATAAATCTAAGACTCTAATTCACTTTGTTTCTCGTATTTATCTATTTTTTTTAAGGTAGTTCTTGTAATAATGGTAGTTTTAGCCAATACACTCTAGTAAGGATATTTTAAGAAAGACGATACCTAGTTATTTATTACAAATAACTAACATAACTAATTTCTTTAAGTTACTCAAATGAGTCAATTAGCTCTTATATTAAGGACTACAGGTAGTATAGTACTTCTCTTATTCTTAATATCAGACCTGTTTTAAATAATTTGATTAGATTAAAGAAGTTAAGTAAGTTAGTTAATTATAAGAAATATCACATGTTTTGCCTAAAACACCATAATATCTTCTTTAATACCCTCTCTCTCTTCCACTTAATTAAGGTTGAGAGAGTATCCGTTGGGATAATTTAGGAAAAATTGACAAGTATAATAAATAGGTCTTATATTTATGACCAAAATCAACTCAACAATTAGGTTATATATTAAATACTGGAGGAGTATTTTGTTCCCTGACCAATCAGCCTTTGCAGCACGCATAACTCTAACGATGCCTTGGAGTGCATATAAAAGGAAACGTTAGTTTGAAGTAATCTGGTTTCTAATTAAACGTAATTTTTTTTCATCATCATATCCTTGCAATTTATTAATTAGAGGTGTTGGACTGTTGGCCCTGTATTTATAATTTGTTAGTTTGTAGGAGAAATGATATTAGTATTTAATGACTTGACATTTACTACTGATCACGTTTTAGATTAAGGGCTTGTTTGGCAAGCACCCCAAACTATAGTTTGGAAAAAATAACAGCCAAACAAGGATAGAAAATGTGAAACCATGGTCTGAGGACAAACCATGGTTTTGAACCCCCAAATCATGATTTCACCAGAAGCGGTCCAGAATAGCTTCCTAACTCAAATTATTGGAACCTTGCTGGACTCAACACGGATGACAAAAGAGCCCCATTTCCTAACTCAAATAATTGATTCATTCCCCAGTCTATGCATTTGCTCTTCCTTTCCTCCTTTGCTCTTTCATCCTTTCTATAAACATGTTTAATATTATGTTTTACAAATATATATACACATATTAATTACTTATTAATTATATTATCTTTTACATTATTAATTATGTTAGTAAAAATTATTTTATTAACAACTTTATTTTTTTAAATAAAAAGATATTATAAAATCTACCCCTTATATAATTATCATGTTAACTTATACCTTTTTAGTAATTTGCACATGTAAAAAGTGTTTCTGGTAATAACTATTCAAACACTCTCTTCTCAGAATCACTTTTTCACAAAATTTGTTTTCTCCATAATCTATTCTCCAGAAGCTATTCTCCAAACTATGGTTTGGTTTCATCCAAACACCCCCTAAATTTGCCACATATACATAGCTAATCAGATTACAAATACAATGGTGATAAATAACTTTTATTCCATCATTTTATTTTTCAATTTTTTTATTTTACTGGCCGTTTATATATTTGTCAATATTAATATCAATTATAATTAATAAATTACGAGTACATGGACAATGATACTGTACATCTCATATCCTTAATATAAGAGTTAGTTGACTAATTTAAATAGATTAAGAAAACTAGTTAAGTTAGTTATCTGTAACAAATATGTATTATTTTTATTGAAATATCCTTATTAGTCAAGTGTATTGATTAGAACTACCATTATTATAAGAACTATCTTATAAAAATAGATAAATATGAGAGACAAAGTAGATTAGAGTCTTAGGAGTAAAATAAAAGTCAAATGAACTTTTATATTAAATACCGGAGATAGTAATAATTAAGAAAATGTAAGGATATAGTGAAATGAAAAAAAATTAGAAGACAATTATAAGGATTGGCGAATTGATTTTTTTATTAAGATTATTACTAATCAACTTAATTATGTGATTATGAGGCGGACAGCTAAATTAAAATTTGAGTCATTTTTTTCATTGCATGGAACACGGACCGCTGGCGGGGGGCTTCCAGGGTACGTAAGAATTTCTCGGGATGTCCCTCCACTCTAGGGAGAACGACCCTGGCCTGAAATTCACAAACCGCCGTTGCACCCACCAACTACAAAAATTGGCTGGGCGCAATGCGCACCCCCAAGTTACGTGTCACGATGTGTGTGGCCTGCTAGTTGACGTGTCATCTTATGGCGAACGCGCAGCATGCACGCTTCTGTCTTTGGTGCACGTTAGTATGCGCCTTTATATTTCACGATTTCCAACCGCATTCAACACATTCCATCCATTACACCTCCTTCTGCTTAAAATACTCTTACGTCAAGACCTGCCAACCGAAGTTCATCCATATTTCAGAGCTACTCTCTGTGTTTCTCTTTTTCTATCCTCTCCACCGCCTTTGGAATCTCAACTAGCTGTTTTAGCTTATTAGTGGGAGCTCTCCTGTGTTATTGAACGAGACCCTTACCACCAACCTGGCACGTCAAAATTCTCAAGTTAGACTTGTATTTACTCGTGACGCGTGATTTCAATCCTGATCGAATTTCTAGTGCTTGACGGTTGGTTCTTGTGATGTTATATCCGGATTTGTCTGTGCAGGGGCGAAAGTTCAGATTGTAACAGCAAAAAATTGTTGCACTTGCGATGACAATCTATTGAAGAACTCGATCGGAGTTAAAGTGGCTGAGGGAGAGGTTGGACGGTCAGTGAAGTTTTGGGTTTTAAGGGAGAGGAACGACGACGGCGGCCGTGGAGAAGAATAGTTTGCACGTGAGCGCGTGCATCTGTGGTTGTAGGGTGGTTTGGGTGGGTGCTTGATCTGATCCTCTCGGGAGGCTCGTGAAATGCCTCACAGAGCGACTTACTTTTTCCCCAGGCAGTTCCCGGAGCGTGGGTTGGATGAATCTTCGAAACAACTATTAGATCACGAGAAGAAGAAAATAGTCAACTCCATCAAATCAGAAACCTTTGACCCTGAAAGCGACCCCAAAAAGGCAATTAGAACAACTACTGCCACAACAACAGAGGACGATGTCGTTTTCCCGTCTGGGAAACACTCAGCTGTATCCGACCTTTTCACGGGCAATGACAAGTTCCGGACCAAGCAGAAGCTAGTCGCTGCTTTCCGCGACTGGGTGATAGAGAAAAAGGGGGATAGATGGGGTCACGTGAAACCACATCCTGGCCGGCTATCCTATGAGGGGGATCGCGAGCTTCTGCTTCCATCGGAGTCCGTGCCTCCTCCGCCACCGGAGACAGTGAAAGATGCAATCGACCGGGGTTTTGACCGCCAAGTCTCCTTGCCGAGGTTATCCAGCGGCAGCAGCTATGCTGGGAGCTTGTTCTCGGGGACAACCTTGGACGGCAACTTTTCTAGCGACGTTAAGGAGGAAACGACATCGTCTCGGGTCTCCTCCACAACAAGAAGACTGGAGGAAGAAAAGGAGGAAGCAGAAAGTAAGGAGACGTTGGCGCAGAAGTGCAAAGAGAGCTACAGCCTGCAGATCACGCTGGCTAGGAGAGTCACCTGTCTAGCAAGTCTCGCTGCTGATGAGCCTGTGCTTACTTTGGACGCTGGAATCGAGACGTGGGATGTGGAATCCGTTTCTTATCGTCTCTGGGTATGGAACTTACATTTTCTTCACTCTTCTTCATCGACGATATAGTAGCTCAACTTAATGCCTTTATAACTTCATGTAAGACGTATATCAATATGGCCACCATAAGACAGAAGATTCTGCTGGGCTATTGCGATTTTTGAGCATCTTAACCGAGTCGGCACGTTTTTCAGGTTAGCGGCTGCTTATCATACTCCGACAAAATATCAGATGGTTTTTATAACATTTTGGGGATGAATCCATATCTGTGGGTGATGTGCAATGAGCTGGAGGAAGACAGGCGGCTCCCACCTTTGATGGCGCTTAAAGCAGTCGAACCAAACGAGTCGTCTATGGAGGTGGTTGTTGTGGATAGACACGAGGACTCTAGGCTAAAGGAACTTCATGATAAAGCACAAGAATTGTATTGTGACTCAGAGAACACCTTGGTATTGGTGGAAAAACTTGGAAAACTTGTTGCGATATATATGGGGTAAGTCACTGCATTCTCTCTTCCTAATAACTACTGGAATATGAGTTTTTTTCATATTGTGCTTCTTTGTTGAAATGTGTGAAGGGGTGCTTTCCCGGCGGAGCAAGGAGACCTCCGCAAGCAATGGAAGTTGATTAGTAAGAGATTGAGGAATTTTCATAAGTGTGTTGTGCTTCCTATCGGCAGCTTATCTGCAGGACTTTGCAGGCATCGGGCCATCCTCTTCAAGGTGAAACATGCTTCCTAAATAAATCTTGCTTCTCATCGCATCAATGAAATATTTAAACTCTTAAATATGCCGTTAAAAAATATATCCTTTGGTGAAAACTAATTGGAATTCCACTGATGACATAATTTAAATAATCAAGTTTTTCTTTGATAGTAATCACCATGTGATTTACATGAATGTACATCCCCTTAAATTTAAAATATGGAAGACAACCATATTAATCTATGTTGGCGTTTTAGGTATTCCTGTACATAACCCCACAAGTACGATTTAAGCCTAAATCATTGCACACATCATTTAGGCTTTATCTTATACCTCGTTTGCAGAAGATTGTCGTGACGTGTTTTTTCATATCCGGGTAATTTAGAAGTGTAAAGATGACTTGCCTGTTTGTCTTCTTGTTGACGGATCATTCATTGTTATTTTGATTTCGCAAATGCAGAGATTGGCAGATTACATTGGTTTGCCATGTCGTATTGCTCGAGGTTGCAAGTATTGTGCTGCAGATCATAGATCTTCTTGCCTCGTCAAGATTAAAGATCACAGCCAACTCTCTAGGTTGGTGCAGTACCTTTCTTTGTAGCTCTCATTCTTTTGCATGAAATTTGTGATATCTCTTATTGGAAACATTTTCATTAGCAGGGAATATGTAGTTGATCTAGTTGGGGAACCTGGAAATGTTCACGGGCCAGATTCCTCAATTAATGGAGCATATGTCTGTTCAACGCCTTCCCCTTTTCAAATTTCTCATATACTGGAATCTCAGTCTCCTTATATGGATGATGCGTTAAGTTCTCGGTTTTCAAGTTCCATAGTCAGTTCTGTTGTTCCTGAAAGTCATGTATATTCTGGTAAGTGATGATTCTACACCTGGAAAATTGTTTTCTCAATTATTTAAAGTACTTCAACATCAATTTCGAGGAAGAACCTAATCCCTGTAGGGCCTAACTAAGCTCTACTGACCAGCTCAAGTACATGTATAAAATATGATGTTCAATTAGGTGACGCAGATGCAACAAACATCATCTGTGCTCGTTCTCCCTGAGCTATCTTTCATCAATCAAGTTTGATGTTGCATTTTTCATTCACAGAAAAAGTTCAGCTTTATGTCTATCCTAATTTTTTAGCTCTTTCTTTCCGAATTTTTCTCAAGAAGAGTTCCAACTCCTCATTTTTATTGTAAGAACATTTTTAAAAAATGCTTAATGTTTTCATGAGCTTTGTAAAACATATGGAGCATAGTTGGTTATGAAATTAAAGATTATGACACCCTTCAAGTTGCTGCGCTTTTTGCTCTGCCACAAAACCCGAGGGAATTTGGCATTTATTTCAGCTTTAACTTGTTTTCTCTTTTGGCCATAAATTTTGGTTTACTTTATCTTCGCAATTTTCCTAAAGTTGATCTTAACTGTTATCCAATCTTTTGCAGGCTGTACAAAGAAAGATAAACTTTTCAAAGGAAATTATTTGCTTAAATGTCCTGTGAACTCAAAATATGCTTCAGTGGATCAAACTCATGCAGTTAATGCAGAGGAACGTGAAGTTCTAGGTTCGAATCTGTCTTCCATTCAGCAAGGTGTTTCTGAAGACCTGCATTCAACCACTGAAGCATTGTTGCATGAATATCCCATGCATGTTGAGGATTCAGTTGTTGTGAAAGAAACTTCCAATAATGAGAGTATTGTAACCGGAAGTCCAGTAGCAAAAGCTACTTCTAAGAAGCCTATACTGGGCCCATCCTGCCAGTCAGAACAAGAATCTGTAGATAGTAGACTTGAAAACTGTGACCGTTTCTCTGCTGGAAACATTCCAAGATATTTGAACATTGAACCATCACTCGCCATGGATTGGCTTGAAATATCGTGGGATGAATTACGCATTAAAGAGCGTGTTGGTGCCGGTAATTCTTCTGCATTTCCTGCTTCTTTTTACTGAATCCACGTGAAAGACATGCTATCATGGCCTTAATTTTTCATCAGGTGAATGTTGCTAATTTTTTCTTCTCTCTGCAGGGTCATTTGGGACAGTGCACCGTGCTGAATGGCATGGATCTGTAAGTGTCAGAGTGCTTTTATAAGAGCTTTCCAATACATATTGAATTTTTTGGGGTTACGTATTTACTTTTTTACTGCACATTTTTGTATGTAGATGCTGCTTTAATGTAGTCTGCACTCTGTCTTTTCGTGTTCTGTATCATTGCAATCAAGTAGATGACATTTATACACTAAGACAATTTGATTTTATTGTCCTTTTAAAACAACTTATATTGGATTGCTGAATTTATGTATTTCTTATCATTCTCTATGCATTATTTATTATAATTTTTTCACTTCCGTAATTGTACCTTACAAATTTTCTTCCAGGATGTTGCAGTCAAGGTTTTAACAATTCAGGATTTCCAGGATGACCAGTTGAAAGAGTTTCTCAGAGAGGTATGTATTGTCTATAATATCCTTTTTCAACCTTGATGGGTAATTTTCATTCTCTGGTTTTCCCAAAAATCTAATTATAAACAGTTAATCTATGAAAACCCAAACAGATAGAATTGATACATATGTATCAATTCTAAGTTATTGTTTGCAGATACTCAGTTTGGGAACCTTTTTCTATAAATCTCTTATTTCTGTTTACCTCTCTATTTGGTGCGAGAAAAGGGTAGTGAGTTAAATCCTAGTTGTTATTCACATTTTTCATAGGTTGCAATAATGAAACGTGTCCGCCATCCAAATGTGGTTCTCTTCATGGGCGCAGTTACAAAACGGCCTAATCTATCAATTGTTACAGAATATTTGCCAAGGTAAAACATCCAAATCTCGTGTAGTTATCTGAACTAATCAATCAATTTACTTGCATAAAGATTATAATGTCTTACGTTGTTTCTTTCTGGTGTGTTTGCAATAGGGGTAGTTTGTACCGCCTGATACATAGGCCAGCATCTGGTGAAATGTTGGATCAGAGGAGACGACTACGGATGGCTTTAGATGTGGTCTGTACAAGATCTAGTTATTCTGTTATATTTATATAATTGTTTTGCAGATGGTTTATGTGTATGTGTGTTTTTTGTCTTTTTGGTGCATTATTTTTTTCAGGCTAAAGGGATCAATTATCTACACTGTTTGAGCCCTCCAATCGTGCATTGGGATCTCAAATCTCCAAATTTGTTAGTTGACAAAAATTGGACTGTAAAGGTAAAGCCTGAGATCAGAAATTTCTTTAATTATTTTTTATGGACATATTTATCTATTAGATAATTTCATTTGCATTCCCTACCCAGGTGTGTGATTTTGGATTGTCGAGATTTAAGGCGAACACTTTCATATCATCAAAATCTGTTGCTGGAACAGTAAGTATTTCTCACTTTCGTGTGAATAATTATAGTATCAGCCCATGTGTTTTATTTCTCTTTGCAAACTGTCAAATGTTCCACCGCATCTTCGCTGTTTTTATTTGTTTATTTGAGTGACATCTTAAAGTTTGAGAAGAGAGTTCAAACTTTGAGGGTGGTAATTCTATTAATATTTTGCAGGTTGAACTTTTACTTCACAGAATCTCAATAAGCGTGTAATTCTCTTAATTTTATTTTCAGCCTGAATGGATGGCTCCAGAATTTCTACGTGGAGAGCCTTCAAATGAGAAGTCCGATGTTTACAGCTTTGGAGTCATCCTGTGGGAGCTTGTGACCATGCAGCAACCATGGAATGGGCTCAGTCCTGCCCAGGTAAGTCAGTGACTATTGTATGTCCAAATGCAAGTAGCCGAAATAATTTATTTTTACTTCGTGTGGTAAAGAAGATAAAGTAGGGTCATTTGCAAAGAATTGTAAGCTTTGAAGTAAAAAATAACACAATGGTGCATATGTAAATTTCTACAGTTCAAAAAAGTGCTTGCCAAAATGGAGCCCTGGAATTCACAGATGGGTAATTCAACATAATCTTTCTCGTGTGAATTGACAGGTGGTTGGAGCTGTTGCCTTTCAGAATCGGAAGCTTGCTATCCCTCTAAACATCTCCCCAGTATTGGCCTCCCTCATGGAATCTTGTTGGGCCGAGTAAGTGTGCTTCGGCCCCTACTTCTATTTCTCTGGAAATTCCCTTTCTTTTTGCCAGATATCTGGAAATTCAAGAATTTTTTATGATACTGCTGGACCTTTGCTCCATTTGGTCAGATTTTGTTAAGGAAAAAACTTAGGCTTAAGCTGATATACTTGATATTAAAACCAGTGGACTTTTTGTCTTTATTCATCTTGCAACCTCTATCTTTGATTTAACATCCTTTTTTGTAATAATGTCACTGCGACCCACGAGACGCATGAACTTGGAATTTGTCGGACTCCATTATCTGATAGGTCTTCGTGGTAAGCAGAAAAAATGTGTCAGAATAGTGACAGTGAGGATTTGGAAATCCGAAGAATTGAACTAGCATACGGACGAAGCAAAGACAATTGAACTAGCATAAGTCCGTCCATGCTGTAGAATATAGCCTTCTTTTTTCCCCCCTTTTATCCAAGTTTCTACAGTTCTTACCAACGCTAAATATAATGTGTTAATTTGCTATAACATCGCCGGCCCAAAATTTTTTTTTTTTTTAAAAATTGCTATAATATCTTCATGCCTTTGTGCATCTGGCAGCAATGATTTTTTTTTTTTTTTGGGACTCAGGCAGCAATGATTTGTCTCTGATGCTTTCTTGTTTTTCTTGCTAGTGATCCCAAGGAAAGGCCTTCTTTCTCCAATATAGTCGAATCGCTAAAGAAGCTGCTGAGGTCTCCGGTGGAGATGATAAAAATGGGTGGGACATGAGGCGCACTCTGCCTATAATTGGCTTTTTCATATTTTGCCAAGTCTGTTGCTCTTATGTGGAAGTGTTAACAAGTAATCTGAACCTTGTTAGTCATCTTCCCTGACCACCAAAACTTTTTGTTCGTTTGCAAGTTGCAACTGTATATCTGTTGCTTCTTCCTGCTAACCCATTCCAGAAAGGGCATCAATGAAGAGCCATCGAGTTTGAAGTTTAGTCATCACTCGAGACTCGAGAGCAAGTAGGAGCTGATTAGATTATTGAGGAATAAGAACTCGACTCCAGCCCGTTCTATGGACAATTTAAGATATGAGGACTGCCGATATAGTAAAAATTTGCTGGGCTGTAAGCCTGTAATAAGTTTGGAATGTATTATTGATGTCTGATAACAATTCACAAACGTTGTACTCGTCATTTTGATGTTTTAAGCAGTAGGCATGATTTGTAGTGCAGATTAGACGCTATCTTCTTCTTTTTTCCCCGATAATTAAAAAGTTAGGAGGAACGAAAGAAGAAGAATTTCAAAAAGGGAAGACAAAAGCACAAAGCTCTACAAATTAACGGGCATGATATTTTTATCTGCAGTAACAGGGGGAACAGTTGAATTCAGTTTTGGTCTCTTAATATATTTCTTTTCTTTTTCTTTGCTGGGCAAACTTTGCTCCACCCACAACCCACCTTCTCTCTGCTGATTTAAGTTAAAATTAATATTGAAGCAATAATATTTAATTTATATATTTATAGGGATTTGATATATTCATTATATTTTGATCTATCTCATTTGCTTTTAAGTTTTTTATTTTTATTAAACAGGTCATTGGATAACTACATGTGCTCTAAATAAATATATTGAAATAATGATGTACTTCTAAACAATCATAAATAAATTTACTTATTTATTGTGATCTAGCATAATCAACACATTTTGACTTATATTATTTCTAAATTTATTCTTTTGATTTTCATTTTCCAAAACTAATAAACTTATGCAGATGATTATCTTTTAAATGTTGTAAACTAGTTCAAACTTCATTTGTGGGCTTCTGTATTATTTGAGTGCTTAAATAGCAGTGCAAATATAAATCATAAAATTCTTTGTTGTTTAAAATATTGCGAGGATCCAAGATAAACTGATCAATATTTTGGGAATGCCAGTACATTTGATGAAAAGAAGAAAAAGGAGTAAACTAGTACGAAATGGAACTTTCATTGGAAATTAATCAGGAAATGGGCCCTCACATAGAATGCGAGGACGAAGCGTGCAATAGCTAGTGATCTTTGATGAAAATGCCCTAGTCAGTTGTACCAAAAAAGAAAGAGAAAAAGCCCAAGTCACATCGTTTAACAAAGATAAAACCTACAATCAAGGCAATGCTTCACCATCCAGCCATTTCAGAGTAGGCAATAGTTTGACCAGAAATGACCTGATCTTATTATCACCAGCAAAAGCATTTCCTGTTATGTCCAACTGTTTCAAGTTCAAGCTTTTAAATACCAGGAAAGCTTCCCACATACTTGGGGCACTGACGTCGCCACTAAGGCTTTCAAAAAGATCGCAATCAAATTCTTCTGTATGCGACAATGGAGAAGAGCATAGGTATCGAGTTGTGTCAACAGAGCGTGATCCTATCTCATTATGCGTGATATTTAGCACTTTTAGTGACTTCAGCAGTCTAAGAGGTCCAAGAGCAGTAAAAGTGCCAATTTTGTTGTGACCCAAATTTAAGCAAGCAAGAAGTTGCATTGCCTCTAAACCTGTCAAAAGGTTTCATTTTAATCATCAAAAGATATAATTGTAAAAAATAGGTATCCCAAGAGCTAAAGTATCACGCAGACTACAAAGACATCCAGGGAAAAGGGACACATAGAAGGGGAGGAGAAGCTCGAGCGAGAACAGCAAAACATTATGTCGCTAGATTAGAGCCTAAAAATGAAATAAGAAGAGTGCATTTAATATATGCAAGTTTACCTTCAATTGATTTGAGTTCGTTGTGGCCGAGGTCTAGCATTTGCACCCACAATAAGCTTTCAATGGAACCCATCCGTGACAGTGATAAATTTTGTAGGCGTAAACACACATAACCATCATTAGTCTCTATACTGTTTCTGTCATGATGGCAGTATTGTAGCAAAGACTCCCTAGTTGAAGTTATCTGCAGAACCTCCAAAACATAAAAAGCTGCTTTCATTTGAAACAGTTTAATAACCAAACAGTTCTAACCAGCATCATGAAGTGAAATAGAAGTAGAAAATACATCGTTATGCCGGTTGCCGATATAAAATTTATATACACCCAAGTGATCTCAACAAAGTTAGAACAATCAATTATACACATTACTGAAAATGGAAAATACCATCAATAAAAGCACAAGAAGCTCTAACCAAAAACACACACACACACACGAGATGCTATTACTGAAAAATTAGAAGTCCAGTTCTTTCAATTGCTAGCTCAATGCTAATCCAACCCTCACCAGCAATGTTGAAGCAATTAGAACCATGCATATTTGGACATTTTTTTGGGATTAATTGCTTGTTTGGACACTGAATACAGAAGAGAACAAACTACCTGCCTCAGTAATACGAGGCTACGTTCATCCTTGTAGTAAGAAGAATGAGTTGGATCGAACTTCAACAGGTCAGCATAAAGTTCAAGAATCTCTTCAGAGTGAACCATTCCTTTATCATGTGCAGATGATATTGAATCATAAGCAGTCAACAATCTTGCAAGGGTAAGCTTCCCGATTTTACTACAGAATACAAGACATAATATTTATTCAAAAGGGGGAAAACGGAAGGAGAACAAAATATAAAGTCAGCAACGTACTTAATTGTGCTTACCAGTCACTCTCAGACAATAAAACTCGAAACGAATTTATTTCATTACCAATAGTCTCTGCACACCAATTGGATATTGCTGGGATATAGTCATTGCCAGTAATTATACGATCAGACATAATGAAATCTGCTTCCTGAAAGTGCTCAATTTTTTGGAAATTATCATTCTCCCACGAAATCATTTTTCCAACCTGGTCTTCAGCAGGTTCTGTGAAAGCAGTCTCCACAAACAATTTAAAGGAAATTTCTGAAGGACGGCTATAATGATAACCACTTGAAGACATAATACCCTCAGAATGTCCAATGCTGATTTCTATAAGGTAAGATCTTGACATTTGAAGCTTCAAATTTCTAAGGTTTAGATACGTAACCCAAACTTGAGCAGTATTTAAGCTGTTTGTTGAAAGCGATTTCCAAATAAGATCCTCAACTATACCAAGTTCAGATTTAACAGCCACAGTGGATGATTCGATGCCTTCAACAGCTTGATTGAAACAAAGAATGAGAGGGATTATTCCTGTGTCCAACAGCGAAGGATATGAAATAGATGAACCATGATCATGAAGGCACTTGTTTCCCTTAAGAGTGATATGGGATCCAGGGAAAGGCCAAGATGATACAAGGACGGGAGCATCAGATTTCACTGTTTGGTCAATAAGCCAAAGATGATAAAACCAACCACTCTGGTCATCGGGATCAGTGAAGAGAGCATTCTGGACCAGATTATATTCCTCCTCTAAAACCTTCTCTTTAGGGAAATGTCCTTCAACCTCTCTTTTCATCAAATTAGACAGAAGAACACTGCAATAACCTCAAAAGGATATGTACGTATGAAATAAGTTTAACAAGAATCGCATTTTCATTTAAAAAAAAAAAACCTTTGAATGGCTGAAAATCCAATAACAGTATTTGACAAGAAATTAATTAATTTTTATGAATGAATTACAAGCCTAAAAATGATTGTCACTAATACACTGAAGGATGGTGCATATGAAATCAGACAATTCTCTATGCTGTCCAAACAATTCTCACAATGAACTGAGAAGCAATTTCATCACGTATGATGTGCATTTAATGACCTGAACGAACGCTATTATACTTAAATAGGATATGGCGAGGCCAAGGAATCAATTTTAGCGAACAGGTAATAAATATACTGATGTGAATTTGTCTGTCTCCGGTTTACACTAAGATTTAAATATTTGCAATGTCCCAGGCATACACTAGTATCTAAGGTAAAAGCTACTTTCTCTTCACAAATTGAGACACAACTGAAATGGAATCAAACCACTTATCTCGGTGATGCTAAATAAATTCCCACATAAGTATTTATGAATAAGAGGATGAAACTAAAGTAACTCGATGAGAGTAGCCCGCAAGGCTAGAATGCCAACTTCACATAAATACAATATTAGATGATCATACCTACGATTGTGCCATGCAGAGTAATTGCTAAAGTTTGTTCCTATCATTTTCTCAGTGTAATTTAACTCGTCCTCGTCTGACCTTTTCATTAGTGCACAAACGAATCTGCAAGTAATATTGACCCAAATAGAGCTCACCAACTTATGAAAAGATCATTTAAATGCCATAATATTGATTAAAGATAGGATATCAAGGGGTAAAGGATTAGACCTTCGGTAATTCCACGCATGGAAATTTCGAGGATCAGCCTTCTGGAAACGATCCAGCAGGCGTAATTCATTGTCTATTGATGAATAACCCTTGCTTAGTACCCATTTGCGATGATGCCATGCCCCATAGGATTTGAAATTCTGCCGCAGTGCACTCTCTACCTAAAATAGATCATTTGAATCTTATAAGGATTACCTATTATGCACTTGCTTCTCAAATTCTAGGAAAACTAAGCGGATTTTTTATTTGATTCTCGCCGCAAATAAGGAGAGAAGGAGGGGGGGAAAAAAAAACTCTCCCGCCGAGTACACTGAATTGCTGGAGTAGGTTCTTCCACCAAGACCCATATCCAACTAAAGAAAATCCCATTTATAAAATATATCTCATCAAGCAAAAGAATGGCGACAAAAAGGGCTAGAGTTTAATAAGAAGAAAAACGGTAATTTTTTAATCAATTGATAGTAAAAGCTCACCACTTTGAGTTCCTCGTCGAAAATGGACTTGATGGTGTCAGGATTTGACTCGGATTGAGAGACGAGGTGTTCGACGGCAAGCTTTCTGTAATTCCATGCCGTATATGATTCAGGATTAATCTCAAGTAACCTAACGCTTATCTCTAGAGCTTCCTTACTATATCTGCATGAATTCATACAATTCAAATTGGAAATCAATGGTCCCAGAACAAAGCTCAGAAAAGTTCGCAAGCAGTCTTATGCAAATACACAAGAGTTAGAGAGGGAGGGGAAGAATGAACATGCGATTATGGTGATTTGCGAGAAACTGAGACTGCAGCAAACGAAGCTTTTCAGTTTTGGCCGATTGAGCTGCAGCATCAACTGGTTCCAAGGCTTTGCGAGGTCGACCGTGCATTTTTAGCGCATCGACAAACAGTGACTACACAAAACTGGCAATACGAATGAGAGAAAGCAAGAAAGCAGGATGTTTTAGGCGAGTTAGCTCTGCCGCGGCAGCAATTTACGAACACTAGATTGCTTAGCGACTTCAATGGTTTGGAGTCCAAACACTGCATAAGACACTGCCCAGATTTGCGGGAAGCAGATCTCGATATGACAACAATTCAGCTAGGCGACGAAAAATTAAAAGCAACTAATCCAGAAATTATAGTCCGAAGTTCATGATACGCCGCAGTCATGTAAAATTTTCCATGTGAAGTTTCGGAAATAATATCTTCTTCATAATAACAACGTAACATATTTCTTTTATTAATTTGACATAAAATATGCAAATTTTATATTGATCTCTACTTTATATGGAATTATTTTTTTGTGGATTAGAGTTTGGACTGTTCATTATTATTTATAAATAATATAACTCCACTGATTAAAATTTACGGTTGACATAAGTGATAAAAAAGTTATATAAGTTTTCGTCTTTAAGAAGTAATGGGTGCTTTAGTTTGTGTATGGATTAAAGATTAGTCAGAAGGATTCTAAATTTTGCTGTTGACAAGTAAATTTCTTTTCATATATATAAATATCAATATTGATAATATTTATTAAGATTTAACGAATATGTCATTTGGCTAAATTAACTCTTGTTAATTTCATTGTTTTATCATCCAAAACAATGTAATTAACAATAGATTTACAATTAAACTGAAATAAACAACTTAAAACCAGAATGGTAACTATGACGGGTTTGCATTTTATTCTCAGACTACTAAATTTTCCACAAGTCTTCTTTGTCACAATGTTTTTAATTTTTTTTTTGGGACCGCTCCTTCGAAATCGTGTCTATCAAAATCTGCATTGAACGAAAATTTATAATTAAATTTTGGAAGAAGACCTTTTGTCCCATGCAGAAGACCTACTTGACTCTGCACATTCGATTCAAAGCACATTAAAATCAACCTAATCATGATTTTGTAGGAAGCTAAACCTACGGCATGATGTTCCCAAACACCAACAACTTGCTCTTTGAGCCACGTATATTTTACATTATTTTGTTGTTATCTTCAAATTAGGTTAACCTGCCTAACAGCTTTTGTGAATGAATTTGTATTTTGCAAATACAATGTGCACGACAGATCTATAGTTGATTGATGGGAAAAGTGGAGCAAATATCGAAGAAACTGAGCACTACATAAAGGAGCCGAGACTGCTATATGTAAAAACCATAAATGTCACTGAGACCCCGTTCTCAATCACATGGCAAAATTCTCAATTTGCATCGAATCATATCTGTCTGCCAGAGATGAAAAACCGTTGGAAACTAGCAGTCAACCGATTTTTCCATAGCTCTAACATTTGCTTCATCTCAAATCTCTTCTTCGAATGGGTTTGATACAGATGAGTTAATTGCTTCAGCAACACAATCACCGGTCACAGACCCATTTTCAAAAATCTCACTGTTATTCAGAGACAGAGACTTGCTGTATTGTAGTTCTATTGATTTTCTATTTTGAAAAATATTGCTGCTAAGAGACAAAGAACCTTCCACGACCAATATACCTTTTTCATTTTGATAATCAAATGTCATTCCATCATCAAAAATTTTCATGGCTTCAGCCACTGGTATGGATTCCACGGTCTGGACACAAGGCTCATCGGATAGCAATATGATTAACTTTTTGTCTACAAAAATGGAATTATTATTAAACGACAAAGAATTTCCCCCATCCAATAGACCCTTTGCTTTTGATAATTGATAGGCATTCCAATGTCGATGCTTTTCATGGCTTCTGCCACCCACAGCTCGATTCTATGATCTGGAAAGAAGATTCATTGGTTGGCAATTCTGTTGAATTTCCATTTCCAAAAGCCTTATTGCTATTCAAAGAAGATTCAGTGTTTGGCAATTCTGTTGCATTTCCATTTCCAAAAACCTTGTTGCTATTCAAAGACAGGGAATCATCCCCAGCCAGCATCCCGTTGTCATTTTGATGATCACTTAACATTCCAGCATCAAAATTTTTCATGGAACTTGCAGAAAACGGGCCATATTTCATGGTCTGGATGCAAGAATCAGTGGACTGCACTTCCATTGACTCTCCGTTTTCAAGGGCCTTACTGCTATTCAGAGACAACAAACCTTCCCCAGACGATACGCCATTCTCATTTTGATAATCAACTGACACTCCATTGTCAAAATCAACAGCTTGCAAAGCTTCTGTTCCAGATTCCAAGGTCTGGACGCAAGACTCGTCATTTACATTTGTGTATGACTCTCCATTTGCTTCGATATGGTTTGCACTTTCAATATGATTACGACCCTTCTTGTCTCCAGATTCCTTCTTTCTTGGTGGTTTCCTTTTAAATCGTGTTTTCTTGGCTTTTGGGACTTTAGAAGTCTCACCAACCTTGCCAATTGGTTCTGCTACCCTTTTCTTGCATGGAACAACTGTCAGTTTTGAGGGGCCAAATTGCTTTTCAGAAGAATGTGATGCACTGGATTCAATGGCTAGTAAAGCAGTTCTGGCAGCTTTTATCTCCGCTTCTTTCTTCGTTCTTGCTGATGCTCCAATATATCGAATTCCCCCAATCTCAACTGTGCATGAATATGATGACAATCGGCCAGGTCTTTCATCCTTTTTGCATAGATACAAGGGCATTGCATAATTCATTTTCTGTGCATATTCCTGAAGTAAATTCTTGCACAATCCTGTTTCAATCTGGAATAGACACCATTAACTGGGTTACAAGCAGCAACTAGTATAACCAATACAGCTGAAACAAGGTAACTTGGAAAACTAAGTTTTAGATAGTGCAATGGGAACATCACCTTTCTTGCAAAGAAATAATGCAACCAAAAACAAATCAAACAAATTAATCAGTGGAGCTACATGCCAAAGTATAATATCAAATAAACAAGCCTACAACTTATACAGTTTCTGGTGAAAAACTTAGATGAAAGCTGCAATAGAATCAACAAATATCAAGCACCTAAAAGGGCTAGTGATACAATGAGACTATTATGCCGAAGTTTAAACTCATGTATGTATTATATAGAGCTCAACATGACCTTAAATATTGAATCCAGAAGAGTGCAGTGCCTGTGTCCTGTAGCCATTAATGAACATAGATAATATTGTGGATTATAATAGCGATAGCAACACATTTGCAACAACAAAGTTTTAAAATACCAAAAGCAACAAGGATGGTCATAAGGCCCAAAAGAAGGTTTTAAGTTAATCTAATACTACCTCCAGTCATTATTATAAGAGCTAATTGACTGATTTGAATATATTAAGAAAGTTCGTTAAGTTAGTTGCTTGTAATAAATAGACATTGTTCCCTAAAATACCCTTACTAATCATATGTTTTACTTAAAACTATCATTTAATGAAACTTTTAACATGTGCAACTACTACAAGGACTACTTTGAAAAAATGAATAAATATGAGAGACAAAATGGATCGGGGTCTTATATTTAGGATCAAATTAAAAGTCAAACTAACTCTTATATTGAGAACCGAAGGTAATATCTAATATCTCATATAATTGTGATATGAAATGCAACGTATTCCATTGATGAGTGAGAAAATATAAAATGACTTCAATTTTGACAGAGTAAATATAATTTATCCCACAACACTTAACAGGTAATGCCCTAGCAATTGCCATTGCATTTTCTGATCCCAAAACCTCAAATTACAGAACATACTTTTCTGAACAATAAGGAGAGCTCTAAGCTTTTTTTCTTTTTCCTTTTGTTTTTTTTTGGAAAAAATGTGTAAGGAATATGGTAGAGACCTTAGTCCAAAAATAGAGAACTGAAAGGAAAAGAGAATATCTTCCACTAGAAAATGCAGTAGGAATCTCACAACACTCTCTAATAAACCAAAGGAGAATCTCCAATTCAGGAAAAATCACTCTGTAATGTTCGATCCTTTATTCAAGTGGCCAATGGCATATTTATAGTTGAATTACAGAGATGAAAATAATTAAATAAAGTCTGAAAATAATGATAACGGAAGGATAAGAATCTAATCCTATTTGAGTGGATATTACCACTTATTTCTCACCGGAAAAGCAACAGAAAATATTTCAAAGTAATTCAAAACAGAATCAACTCATAATCCCTTGATTTTCTCTGGCACGTTTCCTTGAATAAGTCAACCTCACCAACGGTTTCTGGGCCTTAACAGAATACTAAAGAAGAATTTGGCACATCATTATCTTACACCGTATGAGGTACTAGGATACCATGATTTTCAGGATTCTTGAATTTGGTATGTCAATCGAAAGTTATCTAAGAAAGAACAGTTTTTTGAAAGGTATTATATGCTTCTATAATAGAAGGATTGTATACCTTCAACTATCCTGGAAGACAACTGACAAAACTTGGCATCTAATTTGAATAACTAGAATACCCACGTATCCTACAACTAAGAACAATAAACTTTTAGTTCCTACAAAATACAAAATAAAGATAACTTACAACAGGTTGGGTGATGGATTGATTAACTTCATCAGATTTTGCCAGCTCCCGCAGAGCAATCTCCGCAGCTGACTGCTCTGCTGCCTTACGATTGAAGAAACCAGGCAAAGAATCATATCTTACATTATTGACTATGACTGTAGATCTGAAAGAAGGTTGATGTGAAGGCCCTTCCTTAATGGTTTCATAGACAGGTGTGGGAAGTCCCACTTTCTGGGCATATTCTTGCAATCGGCTCTTGAAAACGTAACAATTTGAAACACCTGGCATAAATCAAGAAGAGAAATAGGTAAGCAAGAGGCATCAATCAAAATCTCAGCCTACATGTACCGTTTTTCATTAGAGTGAGTTTCATAAATCTTTCAGTTGTCTATTAAAACAATATTATAAAGGGGGGGAAATACTGACTACCCAAAGAAAGCCCTATTTTTCCCCATTAGCAAAACAATTAGCACCTCAGAAGAAACCCCTTTTTTTCCCCAAACAATAAGAAGTTTATGTGAGTTGGAAAAGAAACCTATTTGGTAGCCACTTATTCTTTCTCATATCCTCTTTTTTGGTCTGGAAAACTACATCAATATGCACAAAAGGTGATGGGAAGACTCATCATTCTAGATCAAATCTGCTCATATGTATTAAAAAGAGATATCTGACTGGTACAAGAGGGTACTTATTTTAACCAAAAGAAATTAGGTGTCTGCACTCTGCATGTGATTGCAAGGATATCAAAAGCAAAGTTACAAACAATTGTTAGTTTTTACGTCATGTTGCCCACAGATTGCACAGCTTCAACTTGCTTAAAGCAATCATACATCAGAAAAAAGTTCACTAGGTCGACCAATCAATAACAACAGCTACTCATGGATTTCAGATTTAGTCTGCATATTAAGAAGGACTCTAAACAGACTGGTAAATATAAAGTCACAATTTACGGTGACGAGGAGTCGATCACACATGGTCACCCCGATCCTTTGAACCCGAGGAGAATACAAACAGAGCTTTTTGCCCCAGTTGGTTTAATTAATTGTTGTTAATAAGATTCACTGTGGCACTGGGAGTTAGCATGTGGGTTTCAAAGTGAGCATGTGCGCCAAAATGTTAAGATTATCTTTTACTTCTTCTATTTAATCAGTATACTTTCATTAAACACAGTTAGTTTTGTATCAAATTCCATGACATTCATTCGAATCATACAAGTTATCACATGAAAAACTGGAAGGTCAAAATATTTCTTTACATGGGGCTTAAATAACTCCAAACACCACAACAGCAACGGAGGCCATATTGACAGAAATTAAGCCCAAACGCAGCTAAAAAGTCCAACATAAAACAAGTTAATGTGAAACTATTATAGTGAGAGTTTAGAGACCTTCACAAAGAGATGCTTATAGGAAAACTAAGCAACTGAAAAGTGCAATATAAAATAAGTTAATATATATATCTATTATAACGAGAGTTTAAAACCTTCATAAAAAGATGCTAAGGGGAAAACTATGCAAACTGAGAATCAGCCGGAACTATGGTTACGTTTAGTAGGAAGCACTGAAAATTAGGGATAGGGATTAAGATTGGAATTGAGAAAATCTATTAAAAGAGTGTTTAGCATAAAAGATTGATTGTTATATGGGATTAGCCAAACCCATGTATTTGGGATTGGGAAATACCATGGAGAGAAATGGTATTTCCCAATCCCACCTCTATGGGTTTGCCTAATTCCATGTAACAAGTAATTACTTATGCTAAACACTCTTTTAATGATTTTTTTTCAATTACAATCTCAATCCTATCCCTCATTTTCAATGCTTCGTACCAAACAGGACCTATAGGAGTTCAGCAAAAATAAGTTGCTTACTTTCCACAATTTTGCACGTAGAAGTCTTAAACTATGTTAAAAGCCTGAAGCAGACTCTTAAGCCAGCCAACAAGATACCCAAACTCTGGGCCCCAAAAGCATACACACACACACACAAATTCAGGCACGGAACCAGGCTCCCTCGTGGCTTCTTGGAACATTCTTTATGAGTCTCTTAAGAGGTTCCGGGTTCGAGACATGGTATGATATGCTCCATCCTTTGAACCAAACTCAGGCACGAAAGAACAATCCGAGTCGAATTACCTTTTCCAATAAAAGAAAGGACTACGAAAACCTAAATTCTAAGAGAATCGGACAACAAAATTGAAATAAAGGGCGAGATTAAACTGTTGGTCGATAAGGATGTAGCCAAGCTAAATGTCGTTACTGTCAACAACTCAGCGTTGATTTGGATCACTATCACTATCAACTGAATTCGAAAGATTTTTTTTTCTACTTATAAAAGTAAAATTTATTCGTTCGGAGGAATTTTAAAACCGGGGCGATATATAATCGCCAAGGATACAAGGTGAGAAAACGAATGAACGCAAAGAGAAGACGAAAAATGCATTATACCAAAACCTCTAGGCAAATCAACCATAAATGATTTATCTCACTCGAAATGCAAAGATAATAAAAGAAAAATAATAAAGGAAGATGAATTTACAGCACGAAATTGCAAATATCGTTGGAGTTCTTACCATATGTGGCTACGTTCAAACCCAGAAGAAAATTAAAAGAATACCTTGGTAGTCTTCGTGGGTGAGCATAGCCCCAGGCAGGTCCAGAAGAAACCGCTAGAGGGCTCCAAGCGGAAAGCTAAGATGCACAAATCTTCGCGTCTGGGACAACTGGGAACTGGGAAGAGAAGAGAGACTACCCGGGAACACGGAAACAGAGAGTGGGTAGTTGTTGTTAGCAACTAAATGAACTGTTTTATATGCATTTACACGAGAGGCTGAAGGAAAAAGGTAGAAAGCCAAGCAAGCGTGCTTTGTGCTCCCAAGTGCTGGAATCTGCCGCCGCTCTGATTCTTTGTGAGTGGAGCGCCTTTATCGAATACGTTGTGAGCAAAGTAACCAACAATGGACCTTGAACCGATGCCGTCGGATGGAGGAGTGGTTGTTCATCAGACGGTGGACTTTCAGGAATCAGATTCCCCCCCGCGGGTTTCGTTTGGTACCGTGCCTCGGGAGTGTGCTAAACTGAAGTGTTCCGCTGATCCCATGGTTGGAGAAAATGGGGATGCAAAACTAGAAAAGCCCAAGCCAATGCCTGCAGAGCTGGCCCAGGGCCCGCGACGTCGGGGACCAAGCTTTGCCAATAGGACACTTTTTACATTAACGGATTTGATCCTTTCAAACTAATGATTTTTTTTTTTTGCCTGGAAGAGTTTTTTGTTTAACTTAAAAGTTTATAGAGGTCCAAGGTTTTTGGTTGAATTTTAAAAAAAGATTATTGGTGGACAAAAAGGCTCTTCAAATACTATTATTTACCGAAGCCTTGGCGTTCGATGGTTATCTGCCAGATTTGGTTATATCGGATGAAAATCAAAGCTTAATTTTCAAAGATTAGTTTTTTTTTTCTTGACATAACAAAGATTAGTTAAAGTAGAGTGAAATAGTTGGTAAGTTGGATGGTTGGCAACAAACAAAAAAAAACAAGAGCGAAATAGTTTGATAAGTGATGGATTGAAATTGTTTATAAGTAACATTTTAATTATTATCTGTAAAATAGAGATAAATATGCTAAAAAGATTTATCTCAATTTATATAAAATGCGTTTATAATATTTAAATAAGCCAACCAAACGAATACAGAATAAAAAAAAACAAGGCTCCGTTTTGGAAGCACTTATAAACACAGTTTAAGTAAGTTAAGACAACTTCTCTTGTATGCTTATTTGTTTATAAGTGAATAATAGTCAAACATTACTTTTTGTCCTTAACCTAAAATCTAGTTTGAGTTTTATTTTAATCATAAATATAAAATCTCACTCTATTTTGTTTTTTATATTTATTTATTCTCAAAGTAATCTTTATAGTAATGGTAATTGTAGCTAATGTACCTAATTAGTAAGGATATTATCAGAAAAATAACACTTATTTATTATAGATAACTAATTTAACTGATTTTCTTAATCTACTTAAATTAATCAATCAGCCATTATCTTATACTACCCCCAGTCCTTAATTATAAGAGTTAGTTGACTAATTTAAATAGGTTAAGAAATTTTGTTAAGTTAGTTATTTGTAATAATTAGGCGTTGTCTTTTCTAAAACATTTTTACTAATAATATGTATTAGTTAGAATTATTATTTGGTGAAATATTTAACATGTCTAATTATTATAAAAAATACCTTAAAAAATAAATAAATTAATCTCAAAGTTAAAAGTCAAATACATAATTACCGAAAATAGTACTACCTATCTTCCTTAATATAAGATATTGTTTGACTTTTATTTTATTCTAAATATAAAACCTCAATCTACTTTGTCTCTAATATTTGTGTATTCTTTTCAAGATAGTTCTTCTAATAATAGCAATTTTAACTAACACACTTGATTAATAAGGATATTTTAAAAAGAACAATATCTATTTATTACAAATAACTAATTTAATTTATTTTCTTGATCTTCTCAAATTAGTCGATTAGTATTAATTACAGGAGGTATTAATGGATAAAATAAATTATCCATATCCTTCGTGAGTTCTTCTCACAGGCGGCGGCAACACTAAAATGCCATAAAAGACTTCCTTCCTCCCACATTTGCTTATCTCTCTTCCTTGTCTTCTTTCTACGGCTCAATCGTTTCTTAGGATTTTTCTCATCCTGTCGATTGGAACCTCCTCTCTCGACATTAGATCGGATAAGCGAACTTGAACATTGAATCAAATAATAAGACGCTGGGGTGAAGATTTTTGGAGGCAACAGAGGATGGACCACAGATACAGCAACGGAGGCCATCAGTAATGGCAGAAAAAGTTTCAGAATAGTTGATGCTTCTTCGACGTCGTTTTTTAGTTTTTTTCCCCTTCTATTTTTGTATATTTTTAAATTGCGTCTAGCTGGGACTAAAATCTATATTTTCAAAAATAGAGGGATTGTACATGTAATTAAGATAAAATAGAAGCGAGGATAAAGAATTTCTGAGAGTTGACGGAGGAGAGGGAATTGTTGCCTGGGCACAGCGGTGTTGGAGGTAGCTAGGGCCAATATACGGGCGAGAACGACTAGGGGACGGAGAAGAGGGAACCGGGGCCATAGGTATCAGCGGTGATAGAAGTGATAGAAACTAGTGGGCTAGAGTACATCGAAATTTTTGCCGTCAAGGTTCGGATACTATCCACCTAAATCTCTCTTTTGATCCCACCTTTCAATGATGCGTTGTTCTCTTTGGCTATCATATCTGCGTGAATCACATATTATTTAGAGTAGACAATTTGCTGATGTTCCGGCTGTGCCAATATGATATACTTCTTTGCAAATAATTTTTCAATCTGTGAAAATGCTGAGATATTTAAGTTGTGTTTATCAATTTATGCAAATATTTTAATGTTCAACTGTGCAAATAAATGCTCAATATTTTCCACTTCTGGGCAAATCCGGTCCAACTGCCTCTTTATCAACCTCTTCTGCTTCGTCATGGGCAGTTCAGTAAATTCGTCTCCGTCTTCTTTACGGTAACCGGCTCTCCTCCCATCCCGGGCAGGAAACATCTCTCCGTTTGAGCGAAGCGTTTTCCCTAGCTGCTTCGTTTTTCTCTCCTTCGTGTAATCAAACGGTCGAGCAGGTGGAAACTGGAAAGGAGGCTGGTTTTCATTTCATGTGCTAAGACGTAAGCAAACGGGTCCTAAGGATCCTACAGTATTGCAGATTCACTTTTTCTTTTAACTTTGTTGTCCTCAGCATTTTGTGGAATTAGGTCACGCGGGGTATTTTGAGTTTATATAGAACATCAGTAGATCTTACAAATTTTTCGTTGTTTTTTTCTTCAGTGAAGTGTCTAAATACTAGATAAGAAAAATAAGAGAGCTATATCGTATTTAGCATGCCGTTTTGGTGCTGTTTACGGGCACAGTTTCTGATCGCTGCTTATCAAATGTGATTGAAATAATTTATGTTTTGACATGATTAATCTTTATTCTCAGATTAGATGGAGGATTCAGGGCAAAGAAAGAGACGGCTAGAAGAAATGCGCAGACAAGCTGAGCTAAGTGAAGCAGCTGGTGGCATTAAAGCTTCCGGTTCTGGAATGCACTCTCCTCTCTCAAATCCTCTGATTGAAACCTCTTCAACTATGCCAGCACAGGATAAATCATATTCTGCTCCAAGATTTGACTTCTACACGGATCCGATGGCTGCTTTCTCTCCTAACAAGAAGAAGAACAATGTCCAGACAGCACCTGATCATTCCACTCCTTTTGTTAGTTCACCTATGGCGCCATTTTCATCACCGCGTATGCCTCCACCTCGGTTTCCAGGTAACTGTTACTTAAATCCATCCTTTACTAAAAGCTAGTACCCACTTATTTGAGCTGCTTGGGATGCATAATTGATTGTGGATTGCCTAAGATTGCTCCTGCTGTCTTGCACAAAATAGAGGAGCACACTTGATGATGACTTAAGGATGCATTGAGTGAAAAAATGTTAGGATATGAAAAAAGTTTTCTGTCAGGGGAGGCACTTTCCTGGGTCCATGTAAACTGAAGTGCATACTTTTTTTTCCCGTTCTGATACTTCTTTCATGGATGAGAGACATTTTTCTTTTCATTTTTTATCCCTTGTTTCCCAGGGAAGGCCTTATGGCCTAAGAGGGAGGAGGGATTTTTTTTTTTTTTTTGGCTGAAACATACGCATTCACACAGAAGAGCCTCTACCTAGTATGTTTCATCCCTATCTCAAGATTTGTACTATACTGCGTATTAATGAGTTTGTTGTGTTAGAAACTCATGTCATTGTTCTGATTACAATTCCTGTTTTTCATGTCTGATATTTTTTGTGCACTGAATATAACAGGATCAATGAGTTCACAGACGACTCACTCTTTCACTTATGGATCGCCAGTACCCAACAGAAACCCAGCCTGGAATGGATCCAGAGGGTCCCCTCAATATCATTGTCCACCCCAATATCAAAATCCTGGATTTGAAATATCAGGCAGGCCTTTTTATAATTCTGGACAGCACACAGCTCGTCAACCTAAACCTTCTCCAGGATACAGTCATAGTCCTGGTCTGAGTCCAGGAAGAGGCAGAGGCAACTGGTACAGCACTAGAAATGATGGTGGACAGCGGCTGAGTTCACATGGTCGTTCCTCCGGTGGGGACAAGCCACATGATGTAGATTGGTTCTACAAGAAATCTATGGTTGAAGATCCATGGCAGCTTTTGAAACCTGTCATATGGAAGGCGACCGATGCTAGCTTAAATAATAAATACACACCTGAGAATTCAAAATCCTGGACTTCAAAGTCACCAAGTACAAATAAAGGAGGACCTTCTGCGACTCCAATTAAGTCTGGTTCTCAACCAAGCCTTGCTGAGTACCTGGCTGCGACATTTAATGAAGCTGCTAATGGCATGGAAAATGTATGATTGTTGGGGTCTTCATGAGAATCCTGACATCATACTGATATTAAGAGTGTTAAGGAGTCACTGCATTGATGGTTATCGAAGAGGCAGTTACTGGAACAAGTGTCCTACATTTGAAAACAGGGAGTTTTCTTAGTTCGTTAACGTAACTGGCATGCCTAGATTTTTAATATGAATTGGTAGACACCCAATCGCTGGAGCTGTTGAATGCTGCAACTATTGACTTGCTGAGGAGATGTCATGGCGAGGGAAGAGAAGCATTACCCTGTTGTGTGAAATTCAGAAAATGAATATAGATGGTCCCGAGTCTAATAATCTCGTTCTGTTCGGGGGAAGATTCCCATAGGGGAGATGTGATTCCCCTGGGAAGTGAATTTGCCAGTGGCAAGACAGGAATCCTTCCTTGTACCCATTGGCGCTATGAAGAGTACAGTTAGCTGGGTAATTATGTGTGGTTTTAATATTCTGTGGTCTGGATAATGTTTCTGTGAAATTGAAATAGGGCTGGCCCTTTAGCTTTTTAATTGTTATCTTTTTCAAATAAAAATTATGACTAAAGCTGTACAAGTCATAAAACTGTAATTTGGACAAAATTCAAAAACACTAATACTCACTTATAATTTAGGTCATTGTCTAAATAAAATTTACACTTTTGATTAACTTCTAATCATCTATAACAGTGTTTGAAATATGATGGGGGATGGAGAAACAATGAAGATTGAAGCTTTGCCTCTCTTTAGTTTTTACAAATTTTCAGTTGAAATGCAAAAGCGTCGACCCTTGGTCCTCAAGAGCCACCGTCTTTGTGCCTCATCTTGTAAGCCCGATTTTTAGTCTTTTTGCTCTATTTTTATACCTATTTAGCAAATTCAAGCCTCAATTTAATAGGCTTAAACGAGTTAATTCCCGAGACTCAAATTGACAACTCCAACCATCTGGCAGCTAAATTCCTTTGGTACAAACATATTGTTTCAGTTTTATTATTTAATGCTGAGCTAGTTTTAAGCAACTTGCATATGAAGTTTTTTCAAAAATCAATGAGGGTTGATCTTTTATGTGATAAACCAAAATTTGAATCTCTCGCTGAGAGATACTCAGATAGAAAATTAGCTCAAATAGAAAGATACATATAATTAGCTACAATTTTTTTTTGTCAAATGGCTTATAATATTCTTTTGGATTCAACCATTGAATGAAAATCGAAGTTGAACACTTTCCCAGCTTTTTAAGAGAACTTGAATACTTAAGTTATCTTATTAATATATTTTTAATTAAATGATAAGATAAATTAGAAATATCAATAATACTTGGTTACATAATAAATAATGAGTAAAAATAATCAATTTCTATAATTTAGCTAAAACATATTAAGTATATAAACTTTAGTACTTTTAAGTTTTTTTGGGTATAACTTGTAAAGGAAAAATATATATACATCAGATACATTCTCCTTGATATACGTTATCAGTTTCCCTGTCGATCAACCATTTTCATTATGACTATAATTATTACCACTTAAAGCGCGTTAGAAATAAACTGACAAATATGAGAATCAGAAACACTGCCTGGAGTACCCAGGGGCAACAAGCAGCCCACAATCAGTATGCTCATCATGCATCTCATACGTAATCAAACATCAGGAAGTCAAAAAGCTTCAGGAAAAGCCATATCTATGAACTGCTCTTACAAATCCTTCAGAGTTAGACGTCCTATTAGTATTGAAAACCATCATGGCATGGCCTAGTGCAGAATCCAAGTCCTCACTAAGGCTTTTGCTCGCAACATATTTCGTCCATGAAGGTGTGTATAAGCTGATCAACTAAGCTCGGTGGGTCATCAATCAATGCATCCACAAAAGCACTAACCACCCTTCTCTCTTGTGGATTAGCTTTTAGGCTGAACCAAGTCAGAAATTTTACTCTGAAATTATGATCAATGTGACCTTCATGCTCTAACCATTTGACTACCCTGACAGAGTACTCATAATCATTTTCCTCCAAACGCTTTCTGCCACCCAAACCTGTAACTTGTCTCGTTTTGTCCAATTTCGAAGGTGTGGGAGGTGAAACCGCAGCAAAAGTTTTAGATGTAAGAGATTCAATTGATGGAGGCTTTGGGAGGAACCTTTCAATCTTGGCCCTGAAGTTATCAGAGAAGAAAAGTTTTGCAGTATGGTCCCTAGAGAATGAGTTGATGTCAGAGTTGGCAGATTCCATGCGGTGATGATTTTCAACAGCTATCCTGTATTTTTCCTGTCCATGCATGTCCAGAGTGGTCATAGAGGATCCATGAGGCGAATATCTTATATGATCCCTGTCACTGCCAGTTCTAGTAACTTTTAAAAGGGATACGCTGGGATTACAAGGGGTGACCCATCTAGCTTCTGCAGTGCCCAGAATGCCCGTGCTGCTAAACAGAGAAGCCTTGCAAAAATACTCAGTAGAAGGATAGAGGTTTTCCAACTTAAACTTTTTTTCTGGCCTTAATACAATGAAGGTAGGTTGCTCAGAGTAGTCCATTGTCGATGTTCGGTGCCAGAGCCTGCAGCCCAAAAAGTCTTTTAAAAGATGATCTTCATACCCCAGCACAATGACCACAGAGGTAGGAAGGCACTCTTCAAAACGTATAGTGCATGCTGCCGATATAAATTTCCAACCAAATCAGTCAAGAAAATTGAAGATTTACTGATAAAAGTAAAGAATTGTATCGATCATCTTGCTTGAGCTCTTTTTTATGAAGGGCGTTTGAAAGAGTGAGATTAGGGACAAATGATAACAAGGACAAAAATTATCATGAAAATTACATCTAAGGACTCGGCCTAAAATATTGATGTTGAAAGATCTTAAAAATCACAATTATTTTCAAGGACCAAAGTTATTTTAAAGTTTTCCAGGATTTACTATATGGTTTTAGATAAATTACTATCAAATTTTAGGAAGGAAAGTTGATAACTATCTTAAAATTTAACAGTAACTTTAGTAAAACTTAATATTAAGTTTCATCCTTGAAAATATTAATGAGTTGCTATCTTATAACATCAACTTTTTTAAGATGTGAATCCTTAGATGTAATTTTTACAAAATCATTTGTACTAATCATCTGATAATTATAAAGAATAGATGCCCGAGTAAATCACCTTTAGCAATTTTCTTCTAATGAAAGATGAAGGTGAAGCAATGGACGTCAGTACAAATCAATTTGTTTCACAGTTCTACGGATTCACTCCTAGGTCTTCCCAAAATGATGTCATGCCTGAAAGTATAACATTGTCTGTAGCGCAACAGCGCAATTTTAATCATGCCAATAACATCTCTGTCTTTCCCAGAGCGTGTTATATATCTTAACAATCTTATATGATGAAAACCAAAATTTTATATCCATTCCCCATTTCAGTCTTCCCTAAAAAGTTTGAAACAGCTATTACAAGCCCTTGACAAGAGGCATGTACAGATGACATGTTAGATCGAAAACATCAGAAGCTAACTCAGTACTTGCTATATAATTGTCTTAACAGCGCTACATGCACTGCTGGCCACTATACCACAACATACTTGACATGAAAATCAATAGTAGTTCAATTAGAAGCTCAATGAGCTGACCTTAAAAATAAGTAAATGACTTACTTGGTTCATCTTTCTTTTCCACAGAGTAAGGGTAAAGGTTAGGAAACATTGAATCAAAACGCTCAACTGCATAAGAGCACAACTTCTGAACCTCAGCACCACATGAGAGCCTGTTCACAATGCCTCGTGTCATCCTTAAGCATTCCTGATCCTGAGGCCCCACTTCATTGTTAAGCAACTTGAGAGCAGCTTCCACAATCTTATGTACTTCTTTGTATGCCTCAGTTCCTAATAGAATTCTGTGAGCCAAGGATATCCGTAAACACAGTATATCAACTCTTCTGGCTTCTTTTGCGACCAATAATTGCTTTCTCCATGTCCTGTGAAATTGAAATCTCACTACAGTTAGTCAGTTTCTACTTTCTTTTTCCAGAGATCCAAAAGGTTTAGAACTGTTTCAAGACAATATATTCAGAATCAAACAACTCAAGTTTGTTGTATAGTAATAAATCGATTCATAATGAAGATTTGTTTTACTAAATTCCAAAATATCTTTTCTTTTGTTTTTTATATTATTTTCACTCAAGACACCTAAGTCTCACTGCATGTACGATCACAGTTATAAATGATCAATATTAGATCTGTTTACTCATATGTCTCAAAAGTAATTCAACTAAGGCAAGTGTCATATTTACCTAGCATCAATCAATATATATATATCTATATATATATATATATCTATATATCTGCAACCACACATGAATCCATGCATGTAAATTGATTTCTAGTTGTGCACAAGAACTGACAGATCATTTTTATGTTGTTTGCAGTTTGCTTCGTCAGAGGACAGTTTCTTAAGGCACAGCAACATGATCATACTCCATATACATGCATGCGTAGGTCATGTTACAATTTCTTGCACATGCATTGTGGATTAGGTGCCTGAAACTGCCACAGAGAAACCAATATAGCTCTGGCAATAAAAACTTTTTTGTGTAACTCTGCCTGCTAATTAATTAAAATATGAACAGTTGACAGATATAATGGGGTTTCTCTGTGTGTGTATGTGCGCGCATGAATATGCTACTATATATGAAGTGCTTACCTCATTAATCCATTAATTTTTCCACAAGAAACACAAGAAAAACTTCCATCTAACGTTGTACTAAATCTGCCCTTCAAAATTCCAGACTTCTTATAATTCAAAGCACATTGTAAATGACAAGACATTCCACATGAATCCTTCTCGTCAAGAAGATCAGATCCACAGGTCAACCATAAACTAGGATCCTTGTTATCGTCATAAAAATGACAAACACAGCAAGAACATCTCTTACAGAAAGCATCTTCTGGACACAAAGTAGCTCTGCATGCAGCATTCTGACACAGCAAGGATTTTACTTTTTCCCCTTTATTATTATTCGCCAGAGGAACATAATGTAATTCTTGAGATGGAGGTCCACTTTTCCTTTTAGAACCAATGTGACTGTTATTTTGGACTATGTGCAACTTTGATTTCCTAGAAATTATCTTAAGAAGATACTCTATCATTTGAGTCTTCGTATACCCAGTGTACTTCCTCTCTTTGCCAAGTTCAGCACAAATTATTTCTAGAAGCTCCTTGCGGGTGAAGGAGTAGAGCATATTTCTGGCATCTTTTGATTGTCGAGCAATCTCTTGAACTAGCTTTTGTTTGTCTTGCAAATTCAGTGCGCCACATTTTGCAGGGCCAAGAAGACCTGTGTTATGAATGACGGTTAGTTTGAATTGTCCCCTTGACACGGACATTTAAACACCTATTACTCATCCGCCAAAAATATTAATAAACAAGATGCCCTAGCCTGTGGAAGCAATAACTGCAAAATATTGCAGAATGAGCAGGCTGGAAAAGAAGGACAGTGAAGTGACACCTTGTTTAATGTATCAGCAGTCAAACTCAAGCCCAGTTTAACTATAGTGACAATAGCATATGGAATATTCAGGTCGCTTTCTATATGTTTTTTCCAATCCAGCTAACAGAAATCACAAAATTCTCAACTACAAAGACCATTAACTGCCCTTTTGTTTTCTATTTCTAACCGATTGCTATCATACACCTGATAGATTCCCAACCTATAATATACCCCTGAATAATGTGAAGGAGGTGCAATAAATCCAAGGGGTAATAAAGAAGATTTTACAAATTACATAAAAGCTTCATATACATTTATGCTTAAGGTGAAAGCATGATCACGTTGTAACGTGGCTTCAGTTACTATAGTCCATAGGCATAAATAATAACAGAATCAGCCGCATTTACAGCACCAATACCACAATATGAAAAAACAAATGTTATGGTGAGACGGTTGTGTTTCTACAAATTTTTCCCAGTCAAATACGAGTTCTACAGGACCCCATTAGTGTCTGGAAAAGTTGGTACAAGTAAGAAACCATTATCGGCAAAAACATATAAAGCATCATGGGGTTCATTAAGGCACACCACAAGATATACATCATTAATTTAAAAGTTTCAAATTCGACTGTACTTTTTTTTAATTATAAGGGCAAGCACTAAAAGCTTGTATATAGTCAAAATCGAACCCACAGCTTCATAATTATGAGAGAGCTTCCATGCTACTATGGGACAGGGTCATTGGCAAAGCCGACTGTACTGATCAAATGAGGATGGTGCCCATATCCATATTCAGCAAATCCACCCGGCGCGTAAGACCCCCACCCCATTCCTTCTCCAAGAAAAAAAGGGGTGGATAATCAACTGATGGAGTGATTTCATGGGTATGACCATAATAAAGAAAGATTTTTTATATGACGGATCAGTGATTTAACCACGTACCCAAATACATGGAGGGGAAAGAACAGAAATAAAAAAAAAATTATTAAAAAAATAATGAAGAAATGATGCACAAATTCCTATACACAAGCTTTTTTATGCCCTCTTCTCAGGGTTTGTGTGATGCTAACAGGTAATCAGCGAAGTAGAAACGCAGTGCACCCCAAACCGAGAATGCAGAAGGAGAAAAATAGAGACGAGAAGACACAGCTCGAACTACCGCGAAAATGCAAGCTCCATAGAACCCCAGGACAGTTCAGTGGGTGTTGAATAGGCAGTGAGAAATTATATAACCTACATTGTCAAAAGCACAGCCCCCACGACCAAATAAAGGGAAAATAGAGCGAGAACAGAAAGCGATAAACACCAGAGGTAACAAAAACCGTAAAACCCCACGCAATGACAAGAGAAAACAAGGGAAAAAATAGGAGGGGAATGAACCTGGATGCGCCGAGTTCGTTTCTATAAAACTCTCCTCTTCTTCGCTCATGATGCTGGAGAAACCAGTGTACGGTTTATCTCAGTAGTATTACTCGTAGAGAATGAATTGATGGAGAGAGAAGGAGAGAAGAGAGGAGAGAGAGCAAACAAGAGGGGGTCCAAGGCAGAACTGATGGTATCATGAAAGCAATAAATACCGAAATACAAAATTTATGACATAATGTGAAACAAGGCATAAATAAATTTCCAAAAAAAGAGAATACCAAAGTAGTTTTTATTTTCATTGATTTTTCTCCTTTTTAATCATTATTAATTCTCTTTCGATGTATTCTTCATGCTGTGCTAATGCTCAGTCTGCAATCTGCATGAAACAGCCCACGCGCCAAGCACCTCCTCTTCCTTGAGATGAACGAGAATTTCGGTTTCAGTTTGCAGTGAGTGTGGGACATACTAAAAGAAAAGGAAAACTAATTCAATACCGTTCCTTCATCTGCCTCCGTGATTCTAGTCGGATTCTTATTTTTTAAGAAAAAAACTTCTCTATAATTGTCAACAATATAAAATAAAAAGTTGCTACTAAAAAAACTTTACCTCATGAACAATTAAATTGCCAAGATCACGTATATGTGCTTGTTTGAATTTATTTATTTTAAATAGTTTTATAATTGATATGTAAAATGAATTTTATCTCTTGAAACTTATAATTATTTTATTAAGTGTTCCGGAACAACTTAGTAGTTTCGGAAAATTATTTTATTAAGTCTTCTGAAACAACTCATGAACAATCTAAAATAGTGCACCGATCTCTTTCTTTTGGCAATGAAAAGGAAAAACTATATCCCATAGGAGTGGCATCCAATCTTGATCACTCTCCCCGTGGGGGCCGATTTCTTTATGAAGAATATTTAAGACATTCTAAACTTCCTTTTTTATTATGATTCTCCTAAAAATTATATATTTTAAAGCAGATTTCAAATAGAGAAAAAAAAAATAGAGTGAGTCTGCGGTTTCCAAACTGGACGCATGCGTGCTAATCCATCTTTTCAAACCACTGTGAAAAAATTTCTCCACGTCAAATTGCATTCAAGCCCTTCTAATTTAAATTGATTCATCCTGATGATCTTCCGTTAGCCAATTCGACAACTTCCCTCTCTTGGCCGCATTCCACTTTCACTCTGCAATGATATAAGTATAGAATGCAGCCAGTCCCCCCCCCCCCCCGGGGGAAGATAACCCCTATTTTGTTGGGAATGAATGGAAGATGAGAAATTCCAATGAATTCAGTTTTCAAAAAGGACAAGTTTGCTTATAAAATTTTAACAAATACTACATCCGGTCCTTAATATAATACCCTGTTTGACTTTTATTTTGGTTCTAAATATAAGACCCCAGTCCACTTTGTCTCTCATATTTATACTTTTTTCCCAAAGTAGCCCTTCTACTAATGATAGTTCTAGTCAATACACTTGATTAGCAAGGATATTTTAGGAAAGACAACACCTATTTAAGACAAATAACTAACTCAACTTACTTCTTTAATCTCCTCAAATTAGTCAACTGGCTTTTATAATTAGGACCGGGGTAGTAAAAGATATAAGAGTTTCGAAGCTTATATCAACTGATATTAATTTGCATATTCTCGCACTGTTTTTATCCATATATCACTCGCTGAACTCCGTATAGTGCCAATCAGGTTGGAGGAACGCACATGTACATATATACTCATTCATTAACATGATCCCAGATAACTCCTCTGCAACTATTTCTTCTATTTATAGCACTTAGCCACTAACCCCAATCTTCACGAAAGCCTTTCTCAAATAAGACACATCTTGTAACATAATTTATACTATAAAACGAGTCGCCTGTTTAGGACCAGAGAAATGAAGTGTAATAGATGACTTTATTATATGCGTGCCTATTTGTACATTCAAAGAAATTCCCACCCTGCCCCCCAATAAAATGGATAATAAGTAATAACTCGGAATGCTTTAGAAAGAAAATAAAAACTAAAAAATAATTATACAATGAATACTTAAGATAAAAATTTTAAAAATTAATATGCCGATACCCCCAACCCCAAGAGATGGTAAAGTGATCAGAGATGAACGGAGTCAGAAGGAGGCCAAATAAACATAGTTCATCAGGTTTTTCTTTCCCCTTTTACTCTGACCAATTTGATTTCCTTAATTTTTTTAGACATATAAATTCATGAATTAAGAGAATTCATTTTGAAAAGGTAAAAACGAAAATATTGATTGCAAACTTGATTTTTTGTTTTTGACCAGGCAAACTTGATTTAATTACCGGAAATTTTAAGGACTACAGTGACGATACTCTCGTTTTAGAGCCCATAACACATGGGCTAAAGATGATCCATTTTAAACAAGAATAGGCCCAAGGATTTTGTTGGCAGCACGCTGAACACAAGAGGTACGAGTGTGTTTACAAAATTAATTATATATAATTTACTATGAAATAAATGGGACAACATTGGATCATATTATCAACAAATAGATTTAATTTAACACAAACGCCAACGAGCTGCATAATTATACTCCTCCGGTTCAAAATACAAGCTTAATTTTCTTTAAAAAGTTTTTTTTATAAGATAACATTTACTTTTATCCAAACATTTAATGAGTTTTTTCCAATTTTATCCCAATATATTCTCTTTTCTGTTTAATTCGTTTATTATATCTTTTACTTATTTTTGTCATTAATAAAGGTACGTTACGAAAAGCAAATATATGCCTTACACATTTATTATTTTAAATTGATTTTAATTATTTTTTATAAATATAAATAGATAAAATTTAGTTTATATTTTAAACCGGAAGGAATAGCAGATACGCTGCCAAAAAAACGCATAATTATGGCAAATAAAGATGGAGATAAAGTATTGTATTGGTCTAATTATTAATGGCTACTGAATAAGACGGGCAATGCCATTAACGGCATCAAACCGACTTGGGTGCCCGAAATCCACGTAACGTGAGTACAGTATGGCCTATCACGGGATTGGATGAATCGCGCCCTTCCCATCCTATCCTTGGGAAATTCTTAGTGGTCTATATGTCAGACCATGCCAGCCGGTACCCCGGTCGCAAGAGAATTGCAATTTTGCTGGTCCATTCATTGATTTACACTCGCTGACTTTCTTCGGTTATTAATCATTTTAACATCTTATTCTTAATATCAGGGTTAGATAACTAATTTATATATTTATTTTTTAAAATATTCTTACTAATCATGTAGTATATTAGAATGAAAATTCTTTAACATGTTAATCATTATGAGAGCTACTTTAAAAAAAATAAATATAAAAAACAAGTTAATATGGATTAGGATCTCCTACTTAATTAGAAAAGAATTGAATCTTTAATTAGTTTTTATATTTATGACGAGAGATAATATTTCATATGATCTAGTTCAATTATTTAAGCAAATAACTTCGCCCTATGCAAAAAGTACACACGCAAGGAGAATTGGAGGTGATGACATGTTAAAATGCTTATTTACATGGTCTCCAGGTACGCACCCGCTAAATTAAATGGTACACTAGTCACCATTTGTCAGTCGGGAGGAAAACAGCACTAATAAAGAAGAGCCTAATATGAAAAACGACTAAAATATATATTTTAGCCGTTTAACTTTACACAAAATTTTATTTTGATCAATTAATTTTAAAAAGTAAATTATTAGTCTTCTAACCCTTAAAGTGTTAATAAAAAATGATGATATTGAACTCTTAAATACTGATAAAACATTAATAAATACTAACATATTAAGTTTAATATTTAAAACAATTATGATTATTGTAAAAAAAATCATTTAAGACCAATAATTTTGAAGTCAAAAGACCAAAAATATAATTTTTAAAGTTGAGAGATCAAACTAAAACTTTACGTAAAGTTAAAGAACCAAGTGTATATTTTAGCATATGAAAAACACACCCTTTTAAAACCCGTCCTACCAAATCATCAACATCCAAATTAATTTGTTCTTTTTTTGGTAAACACGGAGAGATTATTTAATAAGTGCTCGCCTTGTAACTTGAATGAACAGTGTATTTGAATTTATAGAGCTGTCATGATGCATGATATGGCAGCGCACAATACCATATTGAAATGGAATGAAGCATAATGAAAATCGATGTAGCCAGCCATCGATAACATATGCTGTGGAAATAAAAGATGATCTGGACCGTCTGAGCACTGATAGCCTCAGCGAAGACCAAACACCACACGGCCCACCACCAACTACCCCCCTTTAATGCGTTTAGTGTATGACACTTATCATGGGGAATTTGGAAAGAAACTGGTGCTTGTCACAGCCAGTTTCCTCGAGCTGATTTCCTTTATTACAACCCGTGAACGCCGACTTTAATGAACCATAACTTGCGTGCTAGCGTTTTTTTCAAAATATAATTAACTTGTTTTTATTTAATTTTATGAAAAATCAACTCATTTTTCATTTTCACTTTTATCCACAACTAGCGTCAAACGCCTTCGCGCTTCCATGCGCAATTATTGAGTGCACATTAACCGCCACACAACAAAAAATTTGGAAAGAAATCATTAAAACTATAAAACATCATCCTATATTTTGCACAAGCATTAGTTCCAAAAAAAACTCCTACACACCGCCTCCGGTTCTAAATAAAATGTCTAGTTAACTAATTTAAGTAGATTAAAGAAATAAGCTAAATTAGTTATTTATAATAAATAAGTGTTGTTTTTTCTAAAATATCCTTACTAATCAAGTTTATTGGCTAGAACCACCATTATTAAAATGACCATTTTGAAAAAAATAAATAAATATGAGAGACAAAATGGATTAAGGTCTTATATTTAGAGTCAAAATAAAAATCAAACAATATCTTATATTAAAAACCGGAGATAGTATATGTTATAAACAGAAGGGAGTAAGCTTACTCCATTTGGTTTTTATTAAAAGGCATCAATTAACAAGTGTTTTTTTATTCTCTTTATGAGGCATTTATTTAGTCTCAAGGAGCATTAAATATTTTTTTTAAATCATGTATGCCCATATTTAATAAAGGTAGTAAGAGAATTAAAATTAATACTATGATGTTAGAGTTTTTATAATTACTAATGGTAACGTTAGAAATCACTTAAAT